GCGGGTGTAGGGGGGTGGGAAATCGACTCAACGACAGATAACGACGGACAGTCGTTGGGAGTTGTTGGCTAGAAATCTCTTTAATATATCAAAACCCCGGGGTTCCGGGGTTCTGCTTAACCTCATCCCGAGTCCTGAACCCCGGGGTTTGGATTCAGCCAAAACCCTGAACCCCGTGTGTCGGGGTCATGCCTTACTCTCCGGTGAAGGATAACACTCTCACGGGGGGATTCTTGCCGTCTTGTTATCAGGAACCAAAGCTGGATGGGGTGAATGCTAGTGAGACACTCTCGAGCAACAAGGTGTACACATAGTGGTTGGACATTGGAGGGTATCCAATCCATCTACTCTATGTCCGTCTCTGTACGATTTCCAGGTGTCGTTAGGAAGCCTAACCTAAACCTGTAGCCCTCCTTGGGCCCCTTGTTCTAACAAGGGTTTTCAAGAAGGGCACGTGAGGGTCTTGGGAGAGGGCTTCTTCTTGGGCCTTTCAGGCCTGCCAGCAAAGGGCCCTCATCGGGCTCTGTGGTGGAAGAAAGTCCTCTTCCTGAAACAGAGAGGAAAAGAGAGGGGGAACGCGCTGAACCCGGGTGGGAGGGTGGAGCTAAAAAATGAGTTTCAGTGCGTCCAGAGAAGAGCTAACTTAACAAAGTCCCCCTGAGTTGTGGCTGAGTGGGAAGCAGAGTCCCGCCGACCGCAGGGAGGGACTTATACCCCAAGTGGACCTGCTTGCAGTATCCGATCTGCGAAAATCCTCGTTCAACTTTGAAGTAATGTAGCTCCTCAACCAAAGGTGCTACACATGTAGTTGTAGGGAATGAAAGATGCGCTTGCATCTTAGCTTTCCTCTCCCGTTATTTGTTTTCCCAATTTCCCTTGTAGCTACATTTTATGATCAATAAACGATTTTAGAGGTGATTGTGGGTAGCGCTTTGTTCCTCTCGTCGTAGTAAAATCTGATTTGGACATTTTCAGATGTTGAGAATCATAAATGCATGATTAATCAGGACAAATTAAGTGTTTTCACGCATACACCCAAGGGTACCGAGATCTGCTGCCTTTTGTTTTTGAAGTACAAGTGCCCAACCAACCTACTGAAGTTAATCGAAGAAAACAAGAGTCTTGTGCAACGGACAATTTTTATACAAAATGGATGGGTCATCGCTAGCCACATCGGCGCAGAATCTATCAGATGCACACGTTACAACAACTAACTCGCAAGCGACAGTTGAAAAGCACAAAAAGAAACCTTTACAACTGAGTCAAGAGATAACAAACCGGAACGATGATGGTCTCAGAGATTATGTCACTAACGAATCGAACGAACATTACGCGGAGGCCCCAAAGAAGCTGCAAGTGGATACAGTTTGCAACCTTGCACGTGGTTATCACAGCTTTGTCCTTGCAGGGACTGGATACGGAAAATCGAGGATCGGAGAGATGTACTTTCACCTGTACGCGCCGCAAAGAAAGGCAGTGGTTCTTGTGCTCAACCCGTTGGATTCCCTTGGTGAAGATCAGGTATGTATCTCTAAGTTTGTCTTCTGGAAAATTGTGAAGCTAAAAAAAAATTGAACCTGGTCACTTTCCTGTGTAGGTTCGAGAAAAAACCAGAGCCGGAATCAGTGCAATAAGCCTTGGGAAGATGGTATTAACAAGAGATCTAGTAGAGAAGATAAAGCAAGGAGATTACGCATTTATTTACCTGGTTTGTCCACTGATACTGCTTTGCCATTGCATGATTGCTGATTTGGTTGGGTTCACAGAGCCCCGAAGTCTTCCTAAACAACGAATTGTTTACGGATCTATACTTTAGTAACGAGTTCCAAAGTCGCCTTGTCCTGATCGTGATTGATGAAGCACACATGGTATATGTGTGGGGCCTAGTTGAATCAGGGAAAGCGAAACTTCTCTCAGTGCGGGATCGTCTCCAGGACTACGGGATTTTTCGTCCATCGTACGGCAAACTTGGCGATCGCTTGATGGCCACCAACAACGTTCCGCTCCTGCTGTTATCTGCAACTTGCCGCCCAGTTGCCATTGAAGCCATCTTAGCCAGCTTGATGCTCAAGAGGGTCGACATGCCTTTCTTTTGCGGTGAACTAGTACGGACCGAAATCCGGATCTTAAGATTCTACATGACTGATACACTCAAATCTTGCGAGGACTTATCCAGAATGTTTTCAAAGGAGTCTGAGATCGAGGATAAAAACTTACTGCCAACGCTGATCTATTCCGGCACTCGAAAGTCAACCTTGAGTGTAATCAGTGTTCTAAACAAGGCTCGAGGGAGGAAGAAAGATGATTATGATAGTGAAAGCCCACTCGTTCGCCGCTTCCATGCCTGTACTGGTGACGAAGACAAATTGGATGGTGTTAAAGCCTTTGAGAACAAGGAATTTCCGATTTTTTCAAGTACGATGGCACTTGGCCTGGGTCAGAACTGGAAACGGGTCCGATGTGTTATACACATGGGTCGAGGGGACCCATCAACCATCAGCCAAATGATGGGTCGTTGTGGACGAGATGGTCGACCTGGATTGGCTATTTTGTTCATGGAGCGCAAGCGAAAGAAAGGAAAGAACAAAGTCGGCGATTTCAAAAATGAAAAGGAGCAACACACTGATGACGACCGTATGGATGCGTATGCTGTGACTCCGGTATGTCTGAGAGTGGCAAATGCTGTGGACAACCTGTATGCTGTTTTTGATCTAGTTTGTTGAGATGAGCCAAGATGAACACTAACCAACAAATTTGGCAGTAATGGATACATACCACTCTCCGACAAAGACCCAAACTATCTGAAAGAAAAATCACGACATGAATATCTCAAGTTCGATCGCTGTAGCTGCTCAAACTGCGAGCCCAAGGCCGCAAAAGAAATTCATAAATTAGCTCATTCATTTACAGAACAGAACTTTGAAGACATGTTGAATGATCCCAGTAAGTTCACATTGGGAATGCCAGACTATGTTCAGCCAAAGAAACATCGAAATACAACCAAGAAGTACAAAAGCCGCTTCTCCCAAGATACTGTGAAGAAAATTGCCAAAGATCTAGTAATTCATTTTGAGTCCTTCTATCGCAATCTGATGGGCCCACGGCCTGAGCGCAGAGCATCTCGATACTTTGGCGAAGCAAAAGCGAAGGCGGTTGCCGAGGCATTTGAAGATATACACGAACCAGGATTGATTTCGAAGCTCATTGGGGGGGGAATGGTTCGATAACCAGAGCAAAACGATGTTTTCATTTATTGAATCATACAAAAAAGGCGAGTGGTTTGAACGACAGGTTTTTGAGAAAGAAGAAGGGAAGCGGCAAATCGAGAATGCAAAAAGAGATAAAGAGCAAAAAAAGAAAACTGAGGAAGATGAAAAGAAAAAGGCGAATCAAAAGAAAGAAGCCGACAAGCTTGCCAAACGAGCTGAAGATGCGATTGCTTTAGAAGCTTTTAAACGGGTCCGAGCTGCTGAGGCCAAGGAAAGGAGAGAACAGGGCGAGGCTCCATCAAGTTCAACAAACTCCATTACTCTACAACCAAAACCAAAACGGGTCAGATTATCGACTGAGGACAGAAAGAAGAGGGATGAGAAGATTCTAGCAGATAAAACTGCGAAGCGAGCAGAAAACGCAGTCGTATTGGAAGGTTTCAAGAAAGCTCGAGCTGCAGAAGCAATGGAGACAGAAGAATTGAGAAAGCTCACCTGATTCTTCAGACTCATCCAAACGGTCCGATGCTTTGGAGGTATCCAACGAGGCAGTGGTTTTGGTGGCATTGGACGAGTCGGACCCTTCTGAATAGTCTGAATCATCGGGATCATCGGAATCACTCGTTCTTTTTTGATTGTCTGAGCACTTCATTTCTTGATCAAACATATATGGTGGCTTAAGCCGGTCAAGACCACCTTTTCGACTCTTAAAGTCCTCTTCAAGCGCACTAATCCCTTCGTCGTAAACGTCAGAAATCCGCTTTGGTATGAATTCGCCTTCCTTCTCGTCAGCCAAGCATATGTTGTACTGTTTTGCAAATCTGGTGAAAGAATTCATTGAAATATTTGTGATTTTTGTCTTGTGTGATTGTTGAACGACATTCATTCCTGACTCGCGGTTAAGTAGATGCATCAGATCTTTGAGCTGACAAATATTCCAATGCATTGGTTTTTCAGTGTTTGTTGTCAGTTGAAACAGTAATCAAGACTTACTATGGGGATATTGATAGAAAAAACATCTCTTAACCGTTGTATATTAGTTCCAATGCCTGAGTGATTATAAAAGTACTTGAGCCAGTAGTTCTGGACTTCTAGGTAGAAATCGGTGGCAACACAGTGTCCCTCCCTCCCCGAAGGACACAACAGCAAAGTGCTCTCAACAACTTTAGCTATTGATTTTGGGAGGATAACTTTGAGCAGGAGAATCAGCTGTGGAAGGTGACGAGAATAGTGTACAAGTTTTTTTAATCCTTGGCCCATGACGGCCCACCGTTTCCACATATACATTAATCGTCCAGTATCGCCTGCCTTTGTGGCTCGATTTGTTTCAATAACAGTTGCAAAGTCTCGGAGCCGCAAGAGAAGGTTGATCAGTTTATCCTGTTTCTTATCTGTTGCAGCATCAAGCGCATCACCTGATAAGAAACGCTCGTAAGTCCGTTTGACAATGTCCTCAATGGAGGACGGGGACATGGCTGGCAATTCTTCAGGTAGTGTTTCATCTTCTTTCCCCATTACAACCCTATTTGCATACAAAGAAGCACTTGACAGTGAGTTGTTGCATAGAAAATGAATAAAGAAATTGTGAGGCGACTTACAGAATGCAATACAGCAGATCTGCCTCATGAATCTTTTCCATGTTGGTTATCATGAGTGTGAAATCCCGCTTGGTTACTGGTTTGTCGGCCGGTATTCCAAGGGCCTTGAGTATTCGCCATGCTCCAGTGTCCTTTCGATTAGTCTGATCACCCCAATGATGCAGAAAAATTGACTGGGCGAAATTCCACATCGTATGAGCTCCCCCGGGGATTGAAAGGATGTGCGCGAGACTAGTCGTTGAATAGCCGGCTGGGATTCGAAGCTCACAAAGACTCAATATATTCATGCAGGTCCCAAGATCACCTTCAAGAACTTGCAGTCGCGTTGAAAAATCCTTGGCATTCATTCCAGACTGTTGAATGAGACCCGAAAGGACATCACCAATGCCTTCAGACGAATTGTCTGAAGCCATCATTAGCTTGAGCATTGTGAGGTCAGCCTTCTTGGTTTTGATTGGTTTGACTGGTGGTGGGTGAGTCGGGAGAGGGTGTTTCTTGTCATTTGAGGAGGCAATGTAAGAAAGTAATACACGAGTGAGTTGAGATTTCAAGGTGGATTTGAAGTGGTCTTCACTGGCAGATGTTGGACCGAAGTGACGAGGGTGAACTTCTAGGGAGATGCCTTCTTTTAGTGCGTGTTTCAATGCTGAGAGAGTAAGCTGAGAATGATCAAGACCGTCAAAAAATTCACGGGGTAAGCGATGAATGTACCCCCAAGTTCCATGAAACATGGTACTTGATCGACCGACGGACTTTGTGTGGATCGACTGTTGAAAATCAAGATTATCGATGCAGATCGAAGGCAAAAAAACTTTTGAATCATCGTTTCCAAACAGATCCCGTAGTTTTTTCTCAAATTCTTTGCCGAGGGTTGCTAGCCCAATGTGTGCAGTTTTCCGAGAACACGACAGGCCAACATAGTTGAGATACTTGTTGACACGTTCCGTAACGCCACACGCAATGAAAAGCAGACCATTTGTCAGTTGCATGCCGTTGTTGCCCCGGTGTGGTAAGCCACTCCTGAAAATTCAAATTTATCAAGAGCACAAATCACAGAAGAATCACACAGTCAAGACACCCCAGAAAGCTCCCCAGACCCCCAAACCAATCATGAATCCCCTCAAGCACAGACCACATGGATAATAATATTTCCCAACCAGAAACTCCACAGCCCTGAAACTCATTCCCCTCCAAACATATTCCATTCTTCTTACCCCTTGTGTTCCACACTAGTAACAATCCCCCTGATCCATGAAACAGTTATTTCCTCCTATCTCCTTCCATGGAATATTCCCCCCTTAGTTGTTTCATACTAGTAACCTTGGGAGCATTTTCCCACTGCTTGTTTCCCCTGTTTTCTCTGGATAAATATTTTCCCTTGTTTCATGCTCTCATAGAATGTTCCATTTATTTTCCAACCACAAATTGGCCACTCCCCAGATTTTTGTATATAAGGAGCTTTGTTTTTTCTCTTCATTTGTTCCTCATCAGATCCTGCCCCAGCAATCCAGATAACTGATCACCCATTATTAGCCAGGTATTTGCCCATCAACATTTGGGATACCTTGATTTGTGAACAAGTATACTTAGACTAGTAAACATAAGACATATTAGACATACCATCCTCAAGAAATCTCCAAAGCCACACCTTTCCTTAAGAGTCCATACTCTTATATTTTCTTGTTATCAGAGAGGCAGCCCAATAAAGCACTCATCCCTCTCAAGCTCTATTCCTCCCAAGAGTAGTTCCACAAGTGGTGTCCCAACAGTGGCCCAACAGATCTTTTGGTTTCAGTCACTACCACTTATAGTTTCTATGCTAAATATACAGTCACAGATTAGCTAGTTACTACCATCCCTTTTTTTTAGAATTTAAATACCTTATTATTCCCTGCAGAAATCTTCATTGGTAAATCTGCATTAACAACATATCAGTACATCATCAGCAAAAATTATCATAACAGCAGAAATCTTAACAACTTCTCCACCACCATGAATTTTCCACCAAGAAGAAACTCCCTGTCTGGACCTGCCCCTAGGATCAACATGGCCAATTTGGCTATCCCAGCTTGGAGAGGACAAGTCTTACCCCCTCAACTACCCCCTCACCAGTACTATAACCCTGGAACCACATTCTACCAACCTCCTCCTGCCCATACTCCAGCCTTTAACCCTGGACCAATGAGACATCCCCAACCTTCAGAAAGTGACAACCTGGAACCTTTGGAAATTAAAGAACCCCTTTACCACCACAGGACAGAAAGTCAGGATACAGGACCACCAGGGCCAGAAAAGAATACTCCAACTCAGCCAACTCACCCTCTGGAACCCAAGAAACCTACCCCCATCCACTTTCTGGAAAGAACAGAAAAATTGAGCATTGTCTACAGCCCCAAAGAAGGAATGCCTTTCACCAAGGAGGAATATGCTAGAAAGGATTTGCAATGTTTGGTCAGCTCCACTATAGGCATGGGAGGAATAAAAAATCCAGAACAACTCAGACTATTCAGAATCCAATTTGAAGCAATCACCCACTACCTCATCAGAAATGGTCACAATTTCCACATGGATGAATTTTCAAACTACCTTTGGAGATCCCTCAGCCTAAAGTTGGAAAGGTTAATATCAGATCCACTTATCTGGGATGGTCACCTGGTTCTGGATGGAAATTTTCACATTGCAGAACTACCACCCTATGATGCAATTCTGGAACATATTTATATGGAGTTTGAACAAATGGATTTTCTTCAAGAAGAACCTGATCAACCTGCACCAGAAATTGGACAAACAGATCAGAATTTCCATACAGTAGCCAACATGGAAAAATGTGACTCAGGAATCCTGTCACCACTTACACAAAATCTCCCCCCAGTACTTTTGTCAACCTTGGATGCCTACCCCCTGATGCTAGAAAATGACCTATCCCTGGAAACCTTGGAACCCTTGGACAACACAGAGACAAAACAATTTGGATCAGAAACAGAAATCTTACCAGCAACAATTCATTCAGAAAGATCCTCACCAAGTGCCTTGATTGAAGAAAATTGTTCCCCAGTAGTATCAGTAGCCATGGAATTCTCCCTCCAAATCCCTCAGGATGGTGAAGAATTGGAAACCTTGGGCAAAAATGAAAATGAAAATCCTGGACCAGAAATTTCCACCTGTGAAGAAAGAAGACCCACAGAAGAAGACAAATTTCCATCAGAAATTCTTCCAGAAGGAAACTTACCAGTGGAAGAAACCCCACATAGCCTTGTGCCTGGATTACCTGAAACCCTGGAGGAAGACTTTGGAGAAGAGAACACTGAAGAAATTTGTACCAATAATTTCAACCCAGTGGATGGCTCAGCCTTGGACCTAGAATTGGAACAGTTGCCAACCATAAATTCAGAAGCTCTTATGACTGGAAAGACTGAAGCTCCAGAGAGACCCAGCTCAGAAATTGCACAATTTGGATCACCAGAAATTTGCACCCAGGAGATTTCACCTTCCTTGGATGGCCATGGAGGACAATCACTCTTGGAAGATGGAACTGAAAAAAAATATCACAAGGTACCAGACATCAATTATATCCATGATAATCAGTGTAGCATATATCCTTCTGCCACAGGATTAACTACAAAGGATTTTGAAATCAACTTCCAGAAGGACCCTGGAAAAATTATGGAGCAAAATGTTACATTAGTCAATATCAACAACTACAAACAAAGATTTTTTCCCCCAACTCACCAAATAACTCCTCATCAGAAAAACCTGGGCCTCTTGGAACCCCCTGATGCCAGCCAATCATGGATCAAACCTTCTCTGATTACTATTGCAAAAACTTGGTGGGAACAATATGCCAGCCTGAAAGATTCTGTGAAATCCATAAATGAAAGAATCAAGTCAGCTATCATCAAAAGGAACCACTTGGGGTGTGAAAATACTGCATACACCTCTCCACAGTCCAGCGCGACCAACTCAGGGCCCATCTTTCCAATGAACAAGGATCAAGTTTTTAGTGGATTTGTTCCCTCTTTGATCATACCAGGCCTCTCTAAAGTCAGAAAGAAAATAAGGAAGAAACGAATTAGATATAGCGGCATTCACCCTTTTTCTAAGTATCAAGTGAAAGACTCCAAACCCGTAGCAAAGCCTGATGAGTTCATGAGCAACATGGGAACCAGTCGCTGCATCCTAGTCATCTTGAAAATAGAGAAACAAGGCTATCGATCGACTTGCAAGAATACTGAAGAATCTCAAGACAAATCATTAGTTTCTCTATTCAGAAAAACAACTGATCGGTTGGTAGCCTTTGAAGAGACCTGCTTTACTTCTCTGATTGTGGATCACTTGGAGCAAGAGGTCACACAGCGAGACTGCAAAAATATAGCTGTTGGACCGACAATTTCCAGCTCGTTAGTCTTCAAATGGTTGGTTCAGATCTGTAACAGAAAGTGGAAGAAGAGTTTTATCAGCAAGTATTCGCGCTGGATAAGTCAGAAAATCAAGAGGAGAAAGCAACCAATCTTGAAAAATTACATGCTGGACCATTCTGATTCCAGTCAGGCTTTCGCGAGCAAGACAGCAGCTTCAGTATGCTTAGATCGCTGGAATGATGTAACAAGAAAAATAGTGAATCAACAAGTGATTCCTCTGATATACAGCGGCAATAGGGGAGGGAGCGAAGCGATAAAAATGGAATGTACTGGGGACTTGAATCGTTCAGAGGCCAAAGGAAGAGAGATCAGCATGGACCGATCAGATTTGCAAGCTAGAAACCTTCAGAGACTCATTCAATGCTGTTGGAGTTGTATAGCACATAAATCAAGCAGAAAGACTTACAAAGGATCGCTCGGTAGATCGTTTGACCCAGGAATCAATCAAGCTTTATATCTTTCTGATCAGAATAGTTCAGGCAGTTTGGCCTGGATGCAAGCCAGCCCTTTTGGATGCTTCCACAGGCCAACTATACAGGATTTGGGTTTTTGCTATGTACTGAATCATGGACCTAACGATATCGAAACGTTCCTACCAACTGAAGGAGCTAAAAAAGGGGGAAAGAACCCGAACAGGAGTCATGGCAATATGCACAGGATCAATCTCAATGGCTGCTACATGGTAAATATGAGAAGTCAAGGGGGGCTGGACTGTTCAAATTTACCTGTATCGATGATAAGAAGGAAGAAATTGGATAGCTTGTTCTCATGGAACACTAATGGAGGAGGCTTTCAACTTGTCTCATCACCTCACTACCAATTTCAACCTCATTATGTTGGCTATGGATACAAGCAATCTCAAGCAGATGATAACAAGGCCTGTTTCACATCTGCAATACTGGCCATGCTCATCTGTTTCCAATTGGACTCAACTCTTCTGTCCTCTTGCAGGTTCTTCAATTTCAAAACAAGACAAATCAGGAGAAATCTGAATCAACCCATCTGAAATGGAAGATAAATGAAAATGGAACTGGTATATTAAAAAAAAAAAAAAAAAAAAAAAAAAAAAAAAAAAAAGTGGGAGAAGAGAATTTGAAATTTTTACTGAAACTCAAGGCTAATCTGAATTAATCCTGTTAAATCCCAAATCACCCCTCAAAACTTCCAAATTTGGGGGTGGATGCCCCTTCTCTTTGTCCTCAAGACACTTTATTGCTCTTCTCAAACCCTAAAACTTCTTACCTACCTTCTCCAGACATTCCCAGAACACCTTCACCTCTAATTTGGGGGTGGTTAAAACCCAATTTATTTCTTCTTCTCCTTAGTTTTATTTCTAATTTTTCTCACATCAGTCTTCTACCTTTTATAATTCCCTGGGCTACATGAAGAAACAGGATATCAGAACCTTTCATAAATAATTGATGAATCAAAATAAAATAAAATTATAAAAAAAAAATCATTACATAAGATAAAAGTACAAAAACGATTCCTCTACATATACAAACCATAGATCTTTTTGTTTCTTTCTTTATTGGCACTACCTCTGATCATGAATTTCCACAGTTATGACCAGTTTCTTTATCTAGGATATATATTTTTTTCAGAATTTTCAGGAGTGTCTTTTCTTTCTTTTTCTTTCTGGATGATGGGGACATCATCTAATTTGGGGGTGGATGTGGTAAGCCACTCCTGAAAATTCAAATTTATCAAGAGCACAAATCACAGAAGAATCACACAGTCAAGACACCCCAGAAAGCTCCCCAGACCCCCAAACCAATCATGAATCCCCTCAAGCACAGACCACATGGATAATAATATTTCCCAACCAGAAACTCCACAGCCCTGAAACTCATTCCCCTCCAAACATATTCCATTCTTCTTACCCCTTGTGTTCCACACTAGTAACAATCCCCCTGATCCATGAAACAGTTATTTCCTCCTATCTCCTTCCATGGAATATTCCCCCCTTAGTTGTTTCATACTAGTAACCTTGGGAGCATTTTCCCACTGCTTGTTTCCCCTGTTTTCTCTGGATAAATATTTTCCCTTGTTTCATGCTCTCATAGAATGTTCCATTTATTTTCCAACCACAAATTGGCCACTCCCCAGATTTTTGTATATAAGGAGCTTTGTTTTTTCTCTTCATTTGTTCCTCATCAGATCCTGCCCCAGCAATCCAGATAACTGATCACCCATTATTAGCCAGGTATTTGCCCATCAACATTTGGGATACCTTGATTTGTGAACAAGTATACTTAGACTAGTAAACATAAGACATATTAGACATACCATCCTCAAGAAATCTCCAAAGCCACACCTTTCCTTAAGAGTCCATACTCTTATATTTTCTTGTTATCAGAGAGGCAGCCCAATAAAGCACTCATCCCTCTCAAGCTCTATTCCTCCCAAGAGTAGTTCCACACCGGTTGCATCCAAACGCAACCATAGAGCAGATCGTTCTCGCCATCTGGAACCAAATCAATGAGTCATCACTATGTAGCCCAGTTTGAAGAAATACAAACCGATGAACAGGATGACTTACATCTTGGTTTTGAGTTTCCTTCCTAATTGCTGGGTCCGAACTCGGACGTAAAATGTCGGCATCAACTGCCATTACATCGTCTTCATTCAAATCTAGGGGGATCTTGGGGTTTTTTTCTTTCAAGGGGCTGTCTTCGGGGAGAGTATCAGGCACATCATTGAGTGGAGTGTCGTCAAAAGCGGAAAGATCGACCGAGCCATTATCACTTGAATCTTCATCGTCAGGAAGTTTTTCCTTTATTGGCCTCGCTAGTTTACCGAGGAGTAAATTGTAGAGAAAAGGCATTGCGACTTGAGTGAGAATTCCAGAACGCTCAGCCCGCGCATCTTCACTAAAGAAATCCTGGTTAATCCGCTTTGAGCTGTAGTACGACCCCTCCGGAAAGTAGCCTTTCCTTGGCTTCTGTTTTCGCATGATAATAATGGCCTGAGGTAAAATGTTCGGACAGAATGGGAAGGTCAGGTTAGAGGATTCAAAAACTAAATGAATGAAAAATAAAAACAAAAACCTCGTCCAATATATAATCCTCCCAAGATGTTTTCCCTTTGTCATGCTTTCGAACAACATTCTTGATTGAATCTAAAAGCCTCCGAGTCCCAGGCCACCCACTCGATCCCCAAAGGCGTCGTTTGAAAACTGACTTGGCTGATTGCGAATTCAGAAAGGCCTCCATGTACGACTTCGGCTCCAAATTCAATTGTTCTATGAGATTGGAAATCTGTGTGATTTTGTTTTCCAATGAGGTGAATTTTGTTGGTGAAGATGGCCGTGATGATGAACATGACAATGGACATGATGGTGCTTGAGACATTGAGGTAGATACAGATGGCAATAGCGGATGCTTCGAAGTTTGAGGATTCCGAGATGGATCATTGGAGTACCGCGTACATTCCAATTGGGATCTGCGGAGAGGAAAATTGGAGAGAGGGGGCGGTTGAATGATAGGAGAGAGACGTTGAATGATAAAAAGGAGGTGATCGAAAAAAAGAGGAGAGGTAAAAGGCCGAACAAAAAAAAGAAGATTATACACATACCTGCGGTGGCCGAAAAATTAGTTCAAGGCTGGATATTCTCTAAAAAATAACTAAACAAAAGTGACAACATCACAATCAGTTCATCAGCTCTAAAAATCGACAAGTTACGCACCTTTCAGGTTTTTGCTACCTGGGACCAACAAGGTTGAAACTCCGGGGTGTAAAAAAGAAACATTGAATCTTGAGCAGATTTGGGTGGATGGTCTAATGCGAGCACCCCCTGTTTAGTCATAAGTCCCTCCCTGCGGTCGGGCGGGGATTCAGTGCTTAGCCGCTGCACGCCCAACCGCAACTGGGCGGGACTTTGATAAGTTAGAGAGAAGAGAGGAGTGTAGATGATAGGTCGAGCGATGAGAGGGGAGGAGCTGAGTGGGGCATAGATGGTGTCCCTATATCACCACCTTCCCAAACTGCCCTAGGGTCAGTGCTCTTGGGGGAGCAGGGCGGGATTCAGGCCCAGTCACTCAGCTTAGGGCAGGAACCCCAAACGCTCGTGTTCTTGGACTTCGGCGACATCCGCTTGGACGCTACTGACGCCACCAAGGAACTGCTCTGGGTTCTGTCAACCCTTTTATACATATAAGTTCAGACAGAAGGTCGTTGAAGGGATTTTCCTATTGGTCCGGCTGTAATCTTTGTACAGATCATTAAGGGCCAGCCCAAAACGGAGTGGGCCTGAAGCTCACCCCTTGAGCCATATCCACCCATAGCGATGGTCCCCACAACACGCCCATGAGTTGATGCCCCACCACAATTGGCATTCATGATATATAACCCAGCTTCGACATCCGCTGGCATCTGTGATAGCCGCCAACTTATCCATCACGATGTTTTTGCGACCTACGTACTCGATCAGCAGTCAGCGTGCGCTCTGCATCAGGGCTCCCGGGTGAGTGACCAGCCAATTCCACTCCAGAAAAGGTTTTTGGTGGTTCGTTCTTATATTGGAAGCTAACTATCAATCAGGATGAACCGGGCACATCTGATCAGCGTGTTTAATGGACCGGGAAGATTGGGTCGCACATATTACAGCCGGCCGCATGAAGAGGAACGGCTGAGTCGGCGATTGAAGTCGGCACCGCAGTTGACGCTGATACTGGGCCCTCCGAGTTCAGGGAAGACGGCCTTAGCCCGTCACGTGGCCTCGCAGACCCGGCCCGACGGGACGCCGGAGTTCCACCCATTGACTGTCAATCTCCGGGCCGTCGATCGGTTCCACGACGGCAGCTTCCTCCGGGCATTCGTCCGCAATGGGATCCGGGCCGCAGAGATCGATCCCTTCTGGGAGCGTCCGTTCAGAGGCTTCGACGACCTGGCTCGCGTCCTGTATTCCAAACCTCCTCAGGACGTGCCTTCCTCTCTGATGGCTGCCGAGGTCTTCAATGAACTCGCCCACCGTCTCCAGCCCTTGTCTTACTACACTCGCGAATCTACTAGAGCTCCCGTCTTGATAATCGACGAAGCAAATCATTTCAGAAAGATGTCCGACAAGGTATTTGTTAGAGTTGGCGCATAGTTACAAGATCACAAACTTTACGTAGAGTAGATTTACATGTGTTTCAACCTTATTCATCATCAGCCTAAACCTAAGCTAGCTGCTGCGGCGGAACTCATGTATTTAATCTAGTTGTCATATGCGCCGGGTACCGGCTCCTCTCTCTCTCTTCACCGAGTTTGGAGTCCGATACCCGTAGCGTACCTGTGCTCACGTGGCGTGTCCCTTATCGTCAGGTGAGTAGTAATCAATACCGAGTTTGGAGTCCGATACCCGTAGCGTACCTGTGCTCATGTGGCGTGTCCCTTATCGTCAGGTTCACTTCTTCACAGGTTAAAAGCCGCTCTACTAACACGCTAGCGGTATTCGGACGAGATTTATCGGGAGGCACGATTTGCCTGGATGACTGGTGCTGGACGTAGCAGAAGTGTCGATTTCAGAAACATACGAGAGAAAGCAGAAAAAGAATCGAAAATCAAAATTGAAAAAGAAAAAGAATTAGAACGACTGAAAACCGAGAATCTTAGGCAAGAAATCGAAGAAGAGAGACTGAAACATCAAAAAGAAGTCGAGAAGAAATTGATTGAGAGAGAAAACAACAAGCTGATATACGATTCGCTTGCGGAGATCGATATGGAGAACACCAACCCCACCGCTCAAGACTACCTCTTTCTCAAATCGGAGTTTGAGAAGCTGAAACTACTTCTACCTCAGTCAGGAACCCCAGGAGGATCGTCGTCGGCCCTCAGCCGATTGGAAATAGCTATCCGGAACTTCAACAAGGATCCGATTGGCATTCACCACGCCGCCAATCCAGCAAAGACGAAACTAACCTATGACGGTTCCAATTTCCAGATCTGGGAAAAGGAACTCAATCGGACGCTCCGACAGGTTTTTCAGGTCAAAAATTTTTTCAGCCTCGAATCCAATTTCACCGACCGACTGCTTGACGAGCAGGACTCAATTGCTGGCTTGATCAGATCCACGATCAACGAAGACCTCCTTGGGATCGTTGACAGTACCGACAAGGAGGACCCGTGGTCGATCCTTGAACTGCTTAAGGCCAAGTGCAGCAGATCTGATCGTCGCCACAAAATCTCCTTGGTCGATCAACTCATCACATTGGCGACCGACAAGTCCCCTGGTTCCGAAGTCACTCTTGCGAAATGGAGTCGAGTGATGGCTGAAGTCGCTCGATACAAGATCACAACTGACGAACTCGGAGGCTTACTCCTCCAAAGCTCATTCGTTGCCCCTGTTGGCGTAGATCCCAAAACTTTTGAGTTCTCCGTTGATCAACATCTCGAATCGAAAGATAAACCATCTTTCAGCGATGTGGCGACAATAATTCAATCGGCCTCCAGCAAGTCGAAGAACAAGCTTCCTGTGCCGAACGATGGCTACGCTCCGATGGACCTTGACGCTGTCCATGCTATGAGGAACAACCAGCCCAAGTATGCAGCTCCTCATCGTCGAACCTTCCCAACAGTACGACAAGAAAATCAAAAATCCGGTCTATCTGTCGAAAAGGCTAATCGTTTCAGAGGAAAACCCTTGAATGAAGTATTGAAGTCCAGGTACGGTGATGCATGTCACTACTGCAAACAAACCGGCCACTGGTACAACAATTGTGCGGCATTCTGGGATGATGTCGATCAGAAAGTCATCGACCCACCCCCTCGCAACTACGACAATGTACAGTCTAATTATCTGCCCCCAAACCGACCTTCACTTCCCCAAAATCGACTCCGTCAACTTGATGTCCCCGAAGTCAATGATGGCAAAGTTCTACTCGACTCTGGCGCATCGACCCATGTGAGTGGAAACCTGGACATCTTCATTTCACGCGAAGATCTAGCAATACCGCGGACCATTTCCCTAGCTGTGGCTGACTGCAAAGTTGATGTTAGGTTCAAGGGGCGTGTGAGGATCCAGACTCCGAAGGGTCCGATTGAGTTTGATGATGTGTACTATTGCCCTGGAGTCGATGGCTTAATCCTATCAATCGGACGATTGACGGATCGTGGGTGGAAACTCTGTTTCACTGGACGGACGGCGGATCTCATCAGTCCTAGCAATACTCATTTCAATACTCGTTTCCGAAATTTTTGTTGGTACTTAGCTATGTGCAAGGATGTCTTTGAAGTCAATAAAATCACAACATCCCCATCTTTTGATCCGTACTTGTGGCACCGCCGCCTAGGACACGTGTCCGAAGTGATTGTAAAAAAATACCTTGCCCTGCATTACCCTGATGAGATTGAGAAAAAGACCTGGAAATCATTCTTTTGTGAGCAATGCGCTATCTCAAAAGCACTCGACCGCAAGTCGCCTGGGTCGAACTCCTTGATACCACGCGATGAACCTTTAGATCTGCTTGTATCTGATGTTGCCGGACCTTTTCCATATGACCTATCAGGACGAAGATACCTGTTAACACTCCGCGATCATGCCTCCACATACATATGGACAGCAATCCTAGTGACACGCGATCAAGTCCCAGCACAAATCATGGAATGGGTCGAAAACATAAAGACCGTGATAGGGCGCTACCCAAAGTGCATTCGTACTGACAATGCACCAGAATACACCGGCACGCTCAAGAAACTCCTGAAACCAACTGGTATCAACTACGCGCCGGTCACCCCGTACAGCCCAGAACAAAACGGAGAGGCAGAACGTGTGAACCGCACACTTGGGGACATGGCACGAACCATGCTCCACGAAAGCAAGCTTCCGAAGACGTTCTGGGGGCATGCATACCAAGCAGCGTCGTACATCCACAACCGGATCCCGAACTCAAAAGTAACAACCGCTCCTTTGACTGAACTTTACTCAATCGAAGTAGATCCCAACAAACTTTACCCCTTTGGCGCTTCGGCGATAATCCTCATACCCAAGGAAAATCGTGACAAACTCGACGAACGGGCGACTGAGGGGCAACTTGTTGGGTACCCGCCAACAGGTGGAGGGTGGGTGTTCTGGTCGAGTTCAAAAGGAAGATTGATCCATTCAACGGCAGTTATGTTTCCTGAGTTCCAAAATCTCCCGGTCAAGAAAATGGCGCCAGCTCAAGTTGCACCTTCACCGACGGAAGGTACTCCCGCTGAGGCAAAGACGTCTGACGAACTAGCTTTGGAGAGTGAAACTTGTCTTGATTTAGTACTCAACCAAATCATACTGAAGCTGGGCGAGGAGGAGACAAACATTTGTCATGAACGGGAACAGAAGGCTATATCAGATCTCGTGCTCACTGAAGACAGGAGGATTCCGGCGACAATCAAGACGGCATTGAAGGGTGTGAAGGCGGTGGAATGGAGAGGTGCGGCTGAGTATGAGGTAGAGAAGTTCGAATCGTTGGATGTGTGGGAACCGGTACAACCATTCCCTGGTGCTAAGGCGCTAGGTTGCAGGTGGGTATTCACAATCAAACCACCGGATAGAGACGGCGATCCCGAGATCTACAGGGCGAGGTACGTGGCAAAAGGATTCAACCAGCAGATTGGAATCGATTGCAACGAGACTTACGCTCCAACAGCCTCTCTAAACACTCTTCGACTCCTCTTATCCTTGGCCAACAAACATGGATATGCCACAGCCACTTTTGATGTCAGTTCGGCTTACCTATACAGTCCAATTGAAGAGGAAGTGTATGTACAACCCCCGGTCGAGATCATGCCAGAGCTGAAAGGCAAGATAATGCGTCTGAAGAAGGCGATGTATGGCACAAAGCAGGCGGCAAGGTGTTGGTGGCAATTTTTCAAGAGGAAGATGGAAGCGGTGGGGTTTGTAGCGTCGGAACTGGAGCAATCGTTCTATATCTACAGAAAGGGATCCGATTTTGTCATTATATGGCTGCACGTTGATGATGGGCTAGCGGTGGCATCTAATCAATTCCTATTGGACAACCTCAAGACAGACATGCAGAAGGAGATGAATATCAAGTGGTCGAACGGTGTCAAGCGGCTAGTAGGTCTCAATATTGTGAATAAGGATGGTGAAGTAATCATGGATCAAGAACGCCTGGCGAATCAAATAGTCAGTGATTATGAACGTCCCATATTTACCCATCGTTCGCCCCTTCCCGATAACCCTCTAGAAATCAATGCCTCAGAACCGGTTGACCAGACCAAGTACAGATCAATCGTGGGTTCCCTGATGTACTTAGCAGGGGGAACACGACCCGACATCTCATATGCGGTGAACCTCCTGGCCAGATACAGCAACAATCCATCCAACGCGCACTGGTCGGCACTAGATTTCCTGATCGGATACCTCAAACGCTCCCAAGCAACAAAACTAGTGTTTAAAGGGTCAACATCTAGTCTTGATCTATGGTCGGACGCAAACTGGGGAGGCGAGCATGAACGATCAACCTCTGGTTTTATAATTAAACACCTGGGAGACTCAATTGCTTGGGGTGCAAAGCGGCAAACTGTGGTAGCTCTGTCGACATGTGCGGCTGAGTACATTGCACTCTCGGACGGAGCCCAACACATCGCCGGCATAGCTATGATCCTTGAAGACATCAGCCACACCGTCAAGATGAACATCTTTTGTGATAATGAAACAGCAATTCTCATAGCCGGTGACAACGCGTCAAAGAAGAAGACCAGATACTTGACGAGGGCCTTTTATTTCATCAATGACTTTGTACGGGACAACAAAATCAAGATCACGTGGACCAGCACTCTCAACCAACAAGCCGACATTTTCACCAAGAAATTAGGACCCAACAAGATTGAAGACGCCATAGTGAAGTTAGGCCTGAGATGGTAAAAGTTTGCGATCTTGGGAGGGGGTGTTAGAGTTGGCGCATAGTTACAAGATCACAAACTTTACGTAGAGTAGATTTACATGTGTTTCAACCTTATTCATCATCAGCCTAAACCTAAGCTAGCTGCTGCGGCGGAACTCATGTATTTAATCTAGTTGTCATATGCGCCGGGTACCGGCTCCTCTCTCTCTCTTCACCGAGTTTGGAGTCCGATACCCGTAGCGTACCTGTGCTCACGTGGCGTGTCCCTTATCGTCAGGTGAGTAGTAATCAATACCGAGTTTGGAGTCCGATACCCGTAGCGTACCTGTGCTCACGTGGCGTGTCCCTTATCGTCAGGTTCACTTCTTCACAGTATTTATCTTCTGTATTACATACTCATGCACTATCCCTGGAAATGAAAGTGTGCTTCAATTGACCTTGATCTGTTTATGTATCTACACATCCAAGGCCATAATGACGTTCCTTGACTTTGCCGTTCGAATGACCACAAAAGAGAAGAAGATGCACATCATCATGACTTCATCGGACTCATTCTTCCTCCAGTGGATAGGAAAATGTAGGTCCTTCTTCTTTCTATTAAACACGAGACTGAGAGAATCATGCAAGACTGATAGAATTTATCTGTAGGTATCAACCCTACCTATCTCGATTGGTTTGTCCTTGGCGACATGACCCGAGACGAAGCGCACCGATATTTCCTGCACGCGCTCGAGACCGATTGCCGACTTTCGGAAGAAAAGAAAGCGATGCTGGGATCAGTGGACTCGGATACGATCTACCGACTGACCGGCGGGCGGCCGATTTTCATCGAGAGCTACATCCGACAAGTCCATCAGTCTGGATTTTTTGTTGATCGTGAGTAAAAAGGATGAATGACGGAGACACATCGAGGGTACCTTTTTTTTTTTTCAAAGCCACACAGAGGAAGCTATGTAATGATTTTTTTTTTTTTTTTTTTTTTTTTTTTCTCCTTTCAGCTCTTCGCTTCCAGCCTGTGCGACAAGCGTACGGATGTATGTTCAACAGCCTCGGTGACGAGCCCAAGACGTATGGCAAAGCCGAGACGCTCGCCGTCTCCAGCCTCCTCGTCAACTCTCCTGGACACCATACATCCTATGGCAATCTTGCAATCAAGCTCGGCCTGCCCGTGGTCGAAGAAATGTTCGAAAGAAACTTCCTGCAATACCGACCACCATCCACATTCTCCCGCGATCTCGATCCTTCCCCGTACGAGACAGTTGTAACTGCTCAAAGTCAACCTTGCCTACGTGCCATGGAATGGTTTGTAAATAGCCATCGGAATAAATGAGCTAGCATCACATAGCATCCTATTTCCCTCTGATCAAAGCAAGCAAAACACCTGCGATCCTTGTTTTTCTTCTTCTTCTTCTTTGCCTTTGCCGTTTTCTTTTTGAAGGTTCTTGAGCAATCCAATTCTTTGCAACCTCCCACAAACAGTCACTGTCAAGCCTAAGTTGATGAAAGACTCCGTGCATAATTTTGTTGGCAGAGGAAAAATGAAGTAGTGCAAATGCTTAGTGGTACATGGCTTTTTACTGTGTAGTTGAGAAAGAAGAAGGGCGTATGTCAATATATGACGAAGGGGGACGAGCTGTAAGCAATGCAAACGAGGCCAAAAACAAAACAAAAAAACCCAAAAAAAAAGGAAATAAAAAGCTGTATTAAGGAGTGACGGCAGAAGCTTTCCAGCCTGCTCTCAGTTGTGCGATCGCGGCCACAAAGCCGCAGATCCCAGTGACGAGTTCGGAGCCGTACAAGCCTCTAGGCAAGGACCTAAGAGGGAAAGCGTGATATAAATGATGAGCTAGGACAAGCGAACTGGCGTATGGAGGGGAGTTATGAGGGAACATACCAATGGAGGGTCAGTGGAGTATAAGCGAGGTTGACGACCAAGCCGTTGATGATTGCCGCTCTCCGTCCCTCCATCTCCTGGAGAGACGTCGCGATGGCCGGATTGGGTTTGCGAGGCGTGTCAAAGTCGGTGCCCGCTTGGAGGGTCTGGAGCCGGCGCCGCTCGGGCTCGAGTAGCTTGAGCTCCTCCCACAGGTGGAAGAAGTGCAGGAGGGTGTAGGCCGCCCAGGCCCGACAAGAGTAGAGGGCCGCCTTGTTGATCAGTCGGGACGACAGCGGCAGGACTCCCTTGGATGCCAGGAAGTAAAGATGTTCGAGCTTTGCAGAGAGATATTTGGCTTCAATTAGCATTCCTATGTAACCAATCATCCCCCAATTCTCTATCTATAAAAAGAGGCACTTTTTTTCTGGGACGGGCTTTACGCAACTGGGTAGTATATTAGCATCGAGATCACTTGGAGTCGCTCGATTTGGACCGTCTTGGAACCCGATGGCGGTAAGGCATTCAGCGAACGGAGCCATTGGATGATTGAGATCAAGTCCCACAGTCGATAACTTCAAGGCCACCCAAAAAAATTATGAATTTACCCATCAAAAAAAAACGCAAGTGAGTCAGCATCAACCATCTATCCTTCGCACAATTCGGAATGCGTCCAGAAGAACACGTAGATCGAAGAAAAAAAAACTCAACGTTGTCCGAGCGTCGGACAGCAATTTACTGAGGGCTGCCAGACGAAGGACGAGGGACTTATTGGAGGTGGGGTTTTTGGATCGACTAGCGAGATGACGGAGGATGATAGCGGAATACTGGAGGAGCATGAACGACTTATCGGCGCCGGAGGTGGTCGAGAGCAGACGGATGAGATGGTCCATTTTCGCTTGGAGGTCCTATGTAATACGTTTGCCGTGGCCTTCAGTATCACCAATCCCATTCCCCCATCAGACAGAATATTCAACTTGTGTACGAACTTGGAATATCAGCTTGCCCATCCTGCGACAGCGAAGTCACTTAAGAGTGTGGGGCGGCCAACGAAATCCGTGGTTTCCCGAACGAACGGCCGAGGTTAAAACTCAGGTTATCGGTATCGATGATGATCGTCGATGAGCTTGGATCGGTCGCCACGGTCTGACCGAACAATATATCACCACAGCAGTGTCTTCCCCGAAACAACCCACTTAAAGCCTCTCTACATAACGGCAGTCACTCAAACAGGAAACAAATCGCCCAGCATCTTGAGCTCAACTGACACGCACACTCCTTCTCCACACATTCATGGCCGCAACCTCCCCGAGACAAAGCCCAGGCAAGAAACCGGTGTGCTATGTAGACCGGTGTTGTATGAATAAGATGGAATTTGCATAATCAACACACTCTTGGAAAACAGCTATGTGTGATTCAACCTAAGCAAGTGCTTGATTTTGTAGGATAGGACAGGCCCTTAAACATGGATATTGTATCCTACCGCTACATAGGACCAAAAACAAGCGGCATTCCACTCATGATTATCAAATATATATATATATATATGGATCAATTTTAGCTTTGATGGTTTTCATAAGATTAGGTTATAGACTTGGGGTTCACCAAATCGATGGTATGTGATCTCATAGACACAAAGTGAAAGGTGCAGCTGGACGATGATTGTAGTTACTGGCATATATAAGTTAACAACATATACATGGAGAGAGAAGCAGAAAATGTCAAACATATAAGATAACAAAAAAACTCAGAGGAAAGAGCAAAGAGCAATCAAAAAAAAGGGACAATCATAATTCATAAGGGGAGAGGAAGAACGAGAAGCATGAGGATTTCCTTGCATATATATATGTGTGTGTGTGTTTTAAGTGAGAGATGGACGACGAACAAAACAAGGGGACACGGTATCATACGAAGGACGAGGAAAGAGAACCAACAAAGAACGAGAGATAAGAAAAAAAAAGAAGAGGCGGGAGATCATGAAGAGAAAGAAAGAAAAAAAAACGGTGAGATAACGAAAGAGAAGGGTGGTAGTAACACAGTACTGGCGAGGGAGGGAGGAGGTGCGCATGATAAGAATCAGAGTTATGGAGAAGCAGGATGACGATAAGTAGGATGGATAGAAGATAATAATACATCATAAGCCAGGTCCCACCAGGAAGACACTACACACACACACACACACAAATAAAAAAAAACATGCAGACTGGGTGGTGAATGGGGTGAGGAAGCGTCCAAGTATTCATTGATAGATGTCATCGTAGAGGAGGAGTCGTACTCGAAGTAGCAGGATCGTCATCACCGGCCCAACAACAACAAACTTCATGTATTGAAGAGTCCTGGAACAGTGAGGCTTGTTGTCGAGAATATAGGGGAACGAGGCGTGGGGAGCCAAAGGAATGAACTAGAGGGGAGATTAGGAAGGATGTTAGGTTGCGAGTGAGAGAGAGTCGATAGAGGGCAGTCGAGTAGGAGGCTAGCCGACCGAAAAAGAGCAGACGAGAGCTGTCCCGGGGCGGACGGTTTACATGTCACGAGGTTACGGCCATGGGCGTGTCGGAGAGTTTGGGAGGGTGGTACTTTGGAGGCTGATCGGAATGAGATGGTACGGCTGCAAGAGAAGAAGAGGATGATATGAGACAAAAGAAAGGAGAGAGCGTCGAAGGAGGAGGAAGGAGAGGAGGGACTGACGGCTTCCGACGGACTGGTCCATGATCTGGTTCCACTCGTTAGACTTAGGACTATTGTTGTTACTGGGCAAGGTGTGGCTTCGTTTGATGTCGCTTGTCCGGAGGCCGATGAGCGGGTCTTTGGCGTGGAGCCGGCTCTGACAGCTCGTCGGTCGCGGGGTCGATGGAGGATGGGACTGTGTTCGTTCGTCGTCATTGGCGCAGATACTGATATGTGATCTATCCTGGCGGGATGATTTGCGGAATGAGATCAGCTGTCTGGGTGACTCTTGCTAGCGTTTTTGTCTTTTCTTTTCTCTTTGGTTTTGTTTGATAGATATAATTATTTTTTTTGGTGTTTCTAGATGTCATGACGCTTGACTGACGTGAGGGATCTTCTCGTTTCTTACTCCTCCTAGGACCGAGTGACGTGGATTAGGTTTGGTTTGGGGTCGTAAACCGACGACGAAATGGCTTTGGTTGAGGATCATGAACTCGAGTACTGCCTGAGCTTGTTTGACTTCTTTCATGATTGATTCTTGTTCGAGTAGTGATTCTTGTTGGATAGCCGATGGAGGGTGTGGTTCACCAGAAGCCGTGGGTGGTGGTGCGGGTTGACGAGGCGCATAGATGATCTTGTTCAGTTTGTCGGCCGTAGTCGGGTTGGCTGGACAGAGTGCAGGTTGGAAGACTACCGCCAAGTTGTTCGCCGTCATCAGGTTCTTGTCTGACCGGTTCGCAAAGACCGCCAGGAGATCCAAGAGATAGAGAAGTAGATATTGGCTCGACGGATTCAGCGTGGAAATTAGTGACTTGAAGAGTCGGATTTGTTTTGGTTGGTCTCCTGAAAACTTGGCCAAAACTCCTTTAAGGTCCTCGTACATCGATTGGGATATCAGGGGCTCCTGGACGATACGAATGCGATGATGTATATGTATTGAGTTTCATTATTCAATCATAGTAGTACGGGAGATCAAGATACTCACGGGTAGACACATTAGATATCGCCTGAGTACGTTAGCGGCATCATGTATGGAGAAATAAGGTTTTTGGGAAGTATCCAGGGAATGAGGCTCGCTATCGATTAGAGCAGTTTCTTGAAGGGCTTGATTGGAAGAGGAGTGAGAAGATTTCCAGTCGAGATCTTTTCCATAGAACGGGGCTTCGTCGAAGATAGCCTGGAGTTCTTTCATCCGTTTAGTCGAGCCTGAGATCCTGAAGATCCCTTCGACCTGAGTTCCGTTCTCCTTGAGATATAAGCCACACTTTGCGACGACGACGGGGATGAAGCCGTAGATGTATGCCTTCTTGTCCTGTCCGATCATCGAGATGGCCACTGAGGCTGATTGTAGCGAGTCTTCCAGTTTGGATCCGAATATTTTGTTTGGTTGGTTGAGCTGATTCAGATGGGTTTTTGAGTATTGGGCTGTTGGGGGTAGTGGGGATGGTGGTTGGTTTGATGAGTCGATTTGCTTGTGATTGAAGAGTGGTACTTTCCACCATCTCTGTTTGGTGGATGGAGGTTGTAGCTCTGAGAGGGCAGAAGACATTCTGTTTTGTTGGTTGCTGTTTCGATTGGGTCGATGTGTGTAGTTTCGTCGGCTGAGGTGTTGGTCAAGAAGAGGGAGAGAGGAGAGGAAGAAGATGGAGGGAGGGAGACTGGTTGAAGCACAGCCCTCTTTAAAGACGCATGCAGCTATGGACTTGGAGGGGGAGCTCTAAACCCATAACCTTGTCCCTGAACTTTAACTTCGCCAGCGCTCCTTCAACAACCACCCTTTTTTGATCACCGCGGCTCCCTCAACGAGCAATCACCTCAGAGACGAGTGAACGATCTAACAGTCATGATCCCAACCTAATCATCATCTTCCAAGAAATCGAATGTCTACGTACATACTCAGCAGCCACAACATCACAACAACAACCTCGACCATGTGTCTGACAACGGCTAACATCCATACATAAGTATGTAGAAGGTAAATCAATCTCCAGTCAGCTCAGAAGATGGATATGACACCCGTGACGGATGACTTGTTGTAGCTGTGATGACTTTATAGGAGACAGGTTAATCCTCGGTTCTATTTGTTAACGTGCTGGAAATTATTGGAGCTGGAGGGCAGTGCAAGGAAAAACAAGAAAGAAAGAAATCGGCATCTTGAAACTTGCAAGATTGCTGATCATATGCGCGGTCAAGACTTGCACCAAGAAAAAACCCCGACAGAAGGAACGCGAGATGTGGTTTCCGAGTGCCATTCAGCTCCGAAATTTGTTTTCCGCTACGTTCATCTGTGTGAATTTCCCAGCTCGTATGCATTGGACACACAAGATGATACTCACTCTGCCAATCAGTGAGTAAGATTCCATCATCAGGGTACATAGTGCCAAGACGCCTGTGTCCTCAACTTTTCGTTTTTTGAAAAAGTGTAACCGGGCTCGTTACAGGTCTATGGGGTACTGTGTATGTATTAAAGCTTGTGAAAGTTGGGAGGCTGGTACAGAACAACAACGCAAAGGAGAGTACATAGAGAAACGATAGGAAGAAAAGCCTCCTGGAGGACGTGGGCGTCTGTCGTCAGAAGGTTGCACAAAACAACCCAAGCCCGTCGAGAGGGCGAGGGTTAGGGAATCGGAACCCAAGCCCAAGCCGGCTTCTTGACTGCACTCCCTGCAAAGGGTTCATTCGTTGGCAGTAAATATTTGAAGTCCAAACTCCCGGCTTGTCTCGACGCAAGCTCTTCTTCACCCCACCTGATCATCTTTCCAAAATTCAGGTCATCTGCAGACTGCAGTGTTATATAGTCACCTGATCGGTCTGCTCTCCATTTCAATTCCTTTTACCAACCTGCGTTTTCGAAAAAGCTAGACTAGTATCTCCCGAGATCCTTTATCGTTCAAAAAATGTTCACATTTAACTTGATGCCCATCATACTAGCCATCTTACTCCAAGGACAAGCCATTATGGTCCAGGGCTTCGAATGTGGTGCCTCGGCGAGACCGGTGGGTGTGTGCAGAATACACCGTCCACCAACTCCACAGCCGGGGCCCGGAAGTGGAGGATCAACAGGGCCGGGAGGAGGCCCTGGAGAGCATCGCGGAGTTCCAAAAATTTACATCGATTGTGGGTCCCCGTAAAACTTGTACTCTTGATCACCAACATACTCCTCCATGATCCAAAAATAAAGCCTTCTTCTCAGATCCCTAGACGATTGACAACACCCCTTGAATGCTTGTTGACTTCCACAGTGAAGCCCGCCCATCATAGTAACAACAACAACTTCGCTTGCACGGGCCCCACCACCGGACCGAATCGGGTTCATCTATACTGCTGCCCTAGAAACAAAAACACAGTAAGGATCTTCCACATTCGCTCTTTCGAGTTGGTTTTCTTGATCAGATCTGGGCTCATGTTTTGATCAATCACATTGGAATTAGATCGATATCAAAAACCTTGCATTGACAACGTTTCTATACCATTACGGATGCGAAGAGATTTAAACAGAACTCATGAGTCCTCAGTGTTGAGACACACACAGCACTACCTGCAATCATGGATCTAAATTACTGGATCGATAACCAGATCACCCCACTTTGTTGTGAATACTTTTGTAACAACTTTCCTCTTTTTTTTGTTCTAACACACCATGTCTCAGTGCCATTTGACAAATGAATATCTAGAGGAACACTCCGATGATGCCTTGGAAAAAACCATCATTGAATGTCCACATTGTATGTTGTATTCCTGTTGATAAATGAATCTCTGGTTGTGATACCTCATGGTTACAAACTTCAACAGGACAATCAATCAATCAATTAAAAGTCCTTCAAGTCTAGTTTTATTAAATCATGCAGATGTTCAATCAACTTACAGGGTACAAGCACAATGCGATGACCAGACTTTTCTGTGGTGAGAATCATCCAAGCAGTCGAGTTTATCATGTTGCACTGAAACACTTTCCAATTGCTGGGTTTTTATGCAATTTCATTGGATGCAGCTTGGAATTGAAGGTATCCCCAGCAACTTTGAAAATATCTTCTAACTCAAGGAAGGGGTCCCTCTACTTTCCAAAATTCTTTTCATTCAACTGACCAGTTGTTTTTTTTTTCCTCATTCACAAGTCATGATGTGAGTAACATAGAAGTGTCCATATATTCATTGTTGTACTGGTGAGTGCAAAGTGTTAAATAACTATCAACAATACTATTGGATTTTTTTTATAAAAAAAGGAAAGCTTTCTTCCTTGGTGGATGGATTCTAGTAAATTGAACGTGCGCGCCGCCGGGCTCCAAGATGATTGGTCAAAAAATAAAACAAAAATCATAAATGATTGTATCAGGGATGATATCATGTATGCATTCTGTTTTCCAAAATCTGGGCCCACTTTTTTTTCACTGGATCCCATGCATGCACTCCAAAGCTACAATTTATAATTTTAGTTTTTGACAGATGTGTGATCTGACACAAGACAAATCCGTGTTTCATCCTACAATTGATTTACTTTCAATCTCAATAAAGCAATTGGATATCCAAATTCATTTTCAGACCAGGTTAAAAAGTTTACCCTAAGCTCTAGGAGTAGCCATTTGCAAGTTTCCACACCTGGTCAGTTTTGAGTGGGAAGTCCCAGGCCAAGTGTCAGGTTGCTGGGTAGGAGCAGGGAAGGGAGAAGCAAGGACTGGGATTCCACAGGGCAGAAAACTCAGGCAAAAAACATTCTCACAATTTGCTATATCCATAACAAAACAAAAAAAAGTGAATACAGGTCCAAGGTTTATGACAAATGTAACAGTTATAGCTGCCAGTCACCAATTCCTAAAATCAACTCTTGATTTTATCTTGATGGATTTAGGTATCAACTTTGAATGCCTTCTTTTGTTAGTTATGGTGTTCAAAATTACCAACTTATTTGCATCATGAGTGATTTTGGCTAGAACCTATGAGCATAATCAAATCTAAACTTGTCAGATAGATCCCATCTAAACATTTACATACTGCAGATTAAGCAAATAATAACGACCTGTACTGTATGACATGAAAAAAACTGATTTTCTCAAAATTTGTGTTGCTCAAAACTTCATATCATCAAGATTGATCACAACTGAAAGCTAGTCTTTAGCCTGAAAATGAACAATCACAACCCCAGATCTCTCCAATTGTTCCCAATCTTTGTGTAAAAGCTGGAGAAAATCCTGATTATTGAATGTTGAACTCTATAGTATGTACAGCACTACAAGTGCAAACGTACCTGGCCAATTTAAAATCTCATAAGCTGTAGTGTTCAACTTTGATGCTTGAACAAAACACATAAACATTATCTCATGAATGGCATTTGGCCTGGAATGGCCCACATAAGTCATGTTAAACTTATTGATGATTATAGATCAACAAATGTATAGAAATGTGAGCATCATTATTTGTGATTCTATGGTCATGACTCTTTGCAGTCAACACTGATTTGGACACCATTGTTGGGGGTCCTCCTCTGATGACTCTCACTTCAGTACTGTTGAATTGATACACATATACCGGACTCGCCAGTGAAAAGGGGACACTGTGACTGGGATCATCTCAAGGTGAAGCCCCTCATCATGATTCGTAACTCAGGACACCTGATAAGGTAATGCATATTCAGACACCCAAAATGGGACGGGACAAAAGCAGGGGTTTGGTTCCGCTAAAAATGAGGGCAGCATTTTTGCGCTGGTGAGATCACTCAGCGCACACAGGATCAAGGCTAGATCAGCGGGGAAAAACAAGAGGCAAAGGGCTTGCTTGAATGCTTTCAAAAGATCAAACTCAACCTATCAATAAACAAAACAAAGATCGTTCAAATCAATTGACAAGAGACAATGCGAAGAAAGAAAAAAAACTCAAGAAGATGATGGGAAAAAAAGGAAGCAGAAATCAAGCACAAGAATAAGAAGGCGCTTTTCAGGTTTACTGAGACTATTAATAAATTATTTACTGGGCGATGCTCATGATAAGTAAAACTACACTGATACGATATATATACATTCGACTCTCGACCTGTTTAGAAACATGATAAAAATATTTATAATTGATAGAAAAAAAAGTGTCAAATCTTCAAGAAGAGGGGGTTTTGTTTTTGTGCTCAGTGAGCAAGAGAAGAGAAAAGGATCGACGAGGTATTCTGGAGACATCGGAGAGTGTTTTTATGCTTTGTTGTTGGTGTGGAGGAGGTGTCAAGGGTTGAGTGATGCTTTATTTTTGCGAGCTGAACTTGGAGTTGAGGAGATTTAACAACGCGTTAGGGTAACGCAAGAGATATAACTTGAAGGGGAATTCGAACAGGAGGTCGTCGTCGGGGATGATAGCGGGCTCATTGAGGTCTTTATTGAAGCGAAACTTTGCGGGGACTTGAGCGGGGAATTGTTTGAGGACGAGGATGCGATTGCGGTGGAGGAGGGTCTTGAGGAACTCGAGGGGCTCGAGGTCGAGCTTGTTGTAGATGAACCTGACGACTTCTTTGGAGTTGGTAGCGGCGGAGGAGTTCAAGGACTTGAGACAATTGAGATGGTTGAGCACCAGCTTGGTCCACTCTTTGACGTCAATCTCCGAGTCGACTTCGATGTTTCTCGGCGCGACTGAAGCGGATGAGGACGATGAGGTTGCTGATGTTGTGGGCGATGGGGGGCTTGAATGGGAGGAAGTTGCGCGCAGGCCACGGAAGATGGGGATGCTGTTATTGCTGGACTCGAGCAAGACGGATTTCCCGAGCTGCTCGAGAAGGTCGAGCCTAGATTCCTGGCGATCCAAGAGATCCAGGAGAACCTCGATTGCCGCGGAGTGATCAGAGGCCGACGAGCTGGTCGGGGAGAGTGACGAATCCGCCGAGTCGGTCTCTGAGTGGCTATCATCCCTTCCAAACCCCGAGAACGAGGGCGAGCAATCTTCGTCTTCCTTGCCGGCAGTCAGGATTGGAAAGTGACTGATCGTCTCTTTTAATAATTTGTTCTGCTGGACCAATTCTTTCACTAAGAGGTGGGCATTCATCTTCTTCTTTAACTGGATGCTAGGGGGATGATGATGGATCGATAATCGTTCACGTGAGGGGAGTTTTTTTGTGGGCGAATGGCGATATAAGGCGTGGATGCACTCTGTTGGGCTGATTTCAATCAGATTGCTGTATATATAGGCTGGTGATCGTGGGAAAGATCGTCAGCCATTAGGAGCACCTGAGGGTGATACGGGAGTGATGATGAGATTATGTGCGAAATCTGCACACATACCTAGACCAGATGGGTACGGTAACCAGGGTGAAGCTTCAGGAGTAATATGTATGCGTCTTTGCAGCGGGCAACGATGTGCGACTTTGGTTCGGCGACTCAGATTGACGGGAGCGATGAGGAAACAGGAGCTATAAGTTGTTGGATTTGGAAGGCCAGACTGAAAAGTGTCCTTTAGTATGGTTTGATTTTATCTTCTTTAGTTTGGTTGATGAGGGGGCTGGATATTATAGTTGGGCTGCTGACAAGAAGATTGTATACGAGGACTAGTGAAATCTAGCAGATGCGGTATTGGGGTCAAGAAAGCTAGGACGATGAAGGGCTTTGAGGATCGGAAATGGAAGAATTGGACCAGATGGCGGCCGGTTTAAGAACTCCGACTGAATGGTCTGAGCAGCGGGAATGAAGCGCGAGTTGAGTTGCCTAGATGAAAGAAATGGGCATCGTCAAACGTAAGTATGAAAAGGGCAGAAAAAGGGGGGGGGGGGATCACTGCCAGCATGAAAACTGGCTTGCTCCAGCTCCGCGGTGTTTTTGCAAATGACGTATGAAATGGATGAGATAAACAATCTGCAAAATGGCGACTCACGACTGGAGTTATCTGGAGTTATGGCGTGTATCTCTCGGACATGGAATGTTCAAGGGGAATGGGAATTGCTGGAGCCTGGATGGCATTGGAACCACAAGTGAGCTTTTCAGATTTGGAGGATGATTTGATCAGCTCAGCTGAGGATGACGAAGGCTGTTTCTCTTTTTTCGGCAAGATGTGTTGATTTGATTGTAGGGACATAGACTTAGTTCTTCTATGTATTGATGTTGTACCTGATCATGAGGTTTCTTTTGGGGCTGAGAGAGTTCGAATGAGAAACGAGAGTTGGGGGAGCTTGAATCTGCTTGAATAGCTGGATTAGCCGAGACAGCTGCAGGGTTGATAGAAGAGGTGAGTTTGAATGCGCGAGACAAATATAGCAGAGGAAGCGCCGTTCGTCATCCGGAGAAGAAGGTGGTGGAGTGCAGCTATCCCGTTGGTTTTGAAGGCTCGTCCGGCGGCTGCCAGTCTAACGGTGCCTTCATGGAAAAAGATGTGAGGAATCAGCGACGCGACCGGATCATGAGTGGTGCAAAGAGAGCTAACCGAGCAACAGCGGAGTGCCGAAGGGAAAGAACGGGCTGAGCTCCCAGTAAGATTATATTATACCAGCGGCCGTTTTCTTGGGAACGAAGCTCCGCCAACAAGAAATGAAAGTGAGAATCGTTGAGTGTGTCCCGCGGATTGCTTGAGGTGCAGTACAAATATACAAACAGTGGACTGACGCCCGAGTCCAACGGTTTCGGTGGGTGAGTCCGACGGTGATCACTCGACGGCCGCCCGAGTGCACATTCACCAAACATTTCGTGATCAGACTCAGTGATCACCATGTGAGAGCTCCGCCACTTTTGTACAGATTTGTACTATTCTATGTAGTGGCTTCGGCCGGTAGGCTTCGCATACATTCTGACAGCAAGGCGATGAATGGCCTACAGCAATTATGGGGCAGCATGTCTGCTAACGCAGTGCACTCTAATCAACTGTGGAGTTACTGAAGACGAAAGGGCAACAACTCCCAATCTGGCTCTGGTGTTCTCTTATGCCCTTCTGTCAATGCTAGCCCAGCTAACAAAGAGCTTGACATTGGAGGGCTGCGAATACATACCATCCCTCAACTAATTTGCTTCTTCTTGGGGAGCAGCTCATGTGGCATTACTTCAGCAAGGAACGCTAGTCCAAACGTGGAGAAACCCAGGGAAGTGAGGGCACGACCTGTGGCACGGCTGGGGCGCCTCGTTGAACGTTTTACTAGTGGAAAATCTGTCTCTCCATCTTCCTGTTGCCAAGTTGTCTCAAAACTTTGGACATGGACCAATTATAAGCCCCACAGGTTTAATTCCATCTGGAACTGTAGATGTTCAAGAACAATGCCACCTACTGTCAGCAAAACTCTGGTGTCTTCAGCACTGCGGATGATGTCTCACAACAAGAATCACCAAGAAAAACTACTGGTCACTAGGTTACATACTAGGACTAGTACTAGGAATATCAGCCCAAGTCCAACAAACCACCCATCAACTACACTGTACACAGGTGGGTTCTATTACAGCCCCCTGCAAGACACAAGGGGGAGGGGGCATTTTGGTCAAGTTATAGTATATCCAGAGAAAAAAGAAGCCTCACTTGTTCGGACCTGTTGGGGGCTACCTGCCACACTTCAGATCAAGCCCTCCACATCAACAGCCACGATAAATACCAGTGGGGGGGGGGCCAGTACTAAACCTTCATCATTACTGAACCCTCTGGAAGCATCAGTGGTGTCTGAGGGTGTGGAGGGAGTGTTTTGAAGTGTGGCAGGTACCCCCCAACAGGTCCAAACGAACGATCTCTAAAAGAAGGTAGAGCTATGGTTCCTCAACTTTACCTGACATCTACTGAGTTTTGACTTTTCTTGGTGGCACTGGAAGATTAGTTAAACTTACATCTAATACATCTTCATATAGCAAGTATTGTTCATAAAAATGAAGCCACAACAATTGAGAGAGTGACGAATCAGTTTCTCCAAAATACAGGATGTCCATAAGATCTGTGACATCCAGTGATCAAGAGGACTAGAAACAAAAAGAAAAGATTGTTGCAGAGCAAATCAAACATATCTGTTTCTTGAGCTTGGCATTGGTATTCCATGTTCAATGTTAGATTTTCCGGATTTTCTCTTACATTGCTTCATGTGCCCCTGTTTTTGGTAATCTTATCTAAGAGTGCCAATCTTTTGTGTTCTTTAGTTCACAGTCATTGGGTTGAAAATTATTTGATACAGTCACTTGGTACATGGCAAGTGCCATAAAGGCTTACATGTGGCTCAAGGAGCAAAGATGAGACAACTTGTGGACTTAGAAAGCAGGAAAGTTCTGCCGGAAGTTAATAGCACAAACCAGAGTCACAAAAGGTCCCCTAAATTACGTTTGCCAAAAAATGAAGATATATATACACCACTGTTACAAAGACAACACCTGAGAAAGAAGACATAGTGAATCGACCTACATCTCCCCGACTTGGAGCATGAGAATGGTAATAACCAACCACTCGGGCTTTGGTTACTGATACAAGTGATGTGCATCCTGTGATTCTCATCGCAGTTTTCAAGCTAATCGGCTGCCGACAAGTAGGGCAGTTGGACTTGTAATTGTTCTTCAATATCCACAGTCCAATACATTCTGAATGAAAGCCGTGATGGCAATCCAATTTCACTCTTGCATCTTTGCTTTCATCACTGTTCATGCAAATCGCACATGAATCGGGTCTTGAGTTCTGCGCCGCGATGGATCTTTCAGGGGGGATGATGCTAATGGATTCGTGCTCTGGAGCTGTTGTCTGAATATCTGAAATGCTTTCTTTTGGGCTCTTGGAATCCTCTTCTCTTTTCCCTTGATGGTCAATAGTAATCTTGATTTCTTGTGGCTCCTACCAAGATAGCCGTTAACGATATACCATAGTTAACATCTACCCGGTATCTTGAGAACCTGAAGACAGTTTTCTTACCTGTTGATTTGAGAGATGTTCGGGAGCTTGAGAGGAATGAGTCACGCCAGAAGAATCTGAAGGGCTTGGAGATTCTTTGGGCTCGGAGCGACTTGCATAACATGAGGGTGATGACGGCGAGCAGTCGTGGAAGTCATTAGCGGCTTCCAATCTCTGCATCTCAATAATCTGGGCTGGCTCTTGGGAGGATTCCATTCCCACACACTGTCCCGTCAGCTAGGTGCCAAAATTGGCCATAAATATCTTTGTGATCAGTTTGCCTCCTCCTTACAAAAAATAATGGTAAAAAGAAATTTCCTAACCATGCCGAGTAGCAACCAGCAGACCATCGCAAACAATTCCAATTTTAGCCTAATTGTAAAACATTCTGTTAGTTGACTCTTTCCAAGAGGCATAATCACAATGAGGCTTGATGTACATCACCAATTCTTATGCCCCAAAACTTGAATGAATTTCCTTTGCGCTGAACGGAAGATAAATTGAAAGTGATTTATTGACCCAGAGAATTCGACTTTGCCAATCCACCTACCTGGACCAACGTTCAACCGGTGTTGACATATAAGTGCTTCGCGACAGGGCATACATATTTATATCCACAAAATCTTAATATACAAAACATAAAACATAAGAACCTCTGCACGCTTTACGTGGCCGGAATGAGTGGGGTGACATGCATATGGTGATGAAGGTGAACAAATGTTTGTTACGGTGTGTATCATTTATTAGGCTTGCGGGACAGATTGTGAAACTATGTAGTCTTGGCTCTGTGACAAGGCTAGCTATTCTACCAAAGAATCTTCTGGCCGGTTTTCGCCCACCTCAGCGACAGCCACCCATGGCCATCCCCACCCAAGGTTTCTTGTGCAATGAATTTGAGCGATAGGAAGCATGTGGTGTGCTTGGCACTTGTTAATCCCAGAAGCAGCTTCCCTCGAGCCCACCAATTTTGCGACGAGTCGACGCCAAGGCGTGACCTCAGCGCAACCTCCTAGGAGATGATGACCGCAAGTTTGAAAGCTGTGAGCTCGGCCAGCGGCAAGGCTCAAGCAGTACACTACTACACCCAGCCGGCACGGGATATTGGCACCAGTGAAATCGTTCCGTACCCGAGCGCCGCGGGTAGTGTCTTTCAGCCTTTTCCCCGAACCCGAGCTGGCTCGGTCTACGGTCTACCGTCGCGAGTTGTTTGACTTCAATCCGCAAAACATTCGAATTTACCACCACTGCCCGATTCTCAGATTTGATACGAGCGATCAGTTGTCCTAGACTTGGAAGACTTTCTCCTTCCTTGATTTGATCACGAGATGGCTGACCAAAGCCCAGTCGAACCGGTTGCGGGAACAATAGCCTCCTTTCGATCAAGTAACCCGAATGGAAAGTCAGAACAAGAATATCAAGGTGTGCTTAATTTCAATTTACCTCATGCTCTAAGGGGATATTGCCCATGCTGATTAGCGTGAATGCAAGTTGTTCAGGAATTTTCAGACAGGCAATCAGACAGTTATACAACCGAGCGACCACCCACAAAAAGCGGACGTTCGTCAATCGGACATTGTCCACTCCTCACATGGTCCCTCGGGAACAGATATCAGGACGCGATACCGCAAACCGATTGGGACAGACCATCTTACCCGCGTTGAAAGAAAAGTTAAGGTCATTGCCCATCGCTATGGATCCGTCAGACGTGAAAAGCGGATCGAGTTCGTGGTTCGAGGCGATTTTGGATATCTTGATAGAGATCGACGAGCTGTTGGAGCAAATCGATGCATCGATTATCTTGATTCGGAGGGCTTGGAGACCATATCCAGACAAAATACCAAGCCCTCGCCACCTGTCTCACTTCAAATCAACAACCATCACGAACCGAACTGAAAAGCTTCTCACAGGCGAATTTCTCCGAGTACTTGTCGCATGTGACACATTTTTTATCAATTTCAGTTTTTCAGATCCATCGATTGACCGGCGTTCAATTACAGAGAAATGGGATGCTGTCGACATTCGCACGTCTCGATCACTTGACAGCATCGATGCTCTAACCCAATGGATGCAAAAACCCATGTTGGCCGTGGCAAAAGAAGAGTGGCAAGACCTGGTCGACCAGCTCGATTCCTTGTTGACATCCCTTCTTAAAGATTTAAATCCGCTCCACCCAGCGTCCCAAAAGATCGACATCTTAACTCCCACAGGGATGAAGTTCGTCAAAGCGGGTATTCCCGTCGTCAAGATATCTCGGATATTTTTCAACAAACTAATTTCGCGATCGCCCGAAAGTCAGCCATTGATTTTTGTGGGCCCATCGATGGATATGGAAGAAGCCGAATTGAAAGAGCTCCTCTACTGGACCGGCGAAACGCTGACGGCTTTATACGACTTCACGGGTCTGATTAGTAGTTTGCCCAGCCGTCGTCGAGCAGTTGTGGATTCGTCGATCCATGTTACAGGGGTGTTGCTCGAGTGCACGATGATCCTAGAAAGATACTGGAAGAATTTGGCGGAAAGTAAGGACCCGCAAGTTGATCAACAAGTCGTTCGGGGCGCTTGTGATTGGCTCGAGTTTTGGACCCCACTCATGCATTGTGCGACCGGACATGCATGGGCAGTCACTGGTTGCCATTTCCCCTGGCCAGACCCTCAAGACGAGGTGGATACCGAGGACGATGGAGTTTTTGATGAGGGGTTTGGACTCCATCTCGGTGGGTACGGACTCAATTCCGGGGGCGAATTCGATGATGAAGACGGCCCTGATGATGATGACGATCTTGATGAGGAGGAAGAATCAAAGGATGAAGACGAATCTGATAGTGGAGACGACTCTGATGACGAGGACGAATCTGATGGCGAGGAAGACTCTGTTAATGAACAAGCCACTGATGATCACAAATAAGCCAACCTAGTCAAAGGACCACCTGACACAGCAAAGTGTAATGCTGAGGAAGACTATGATGGAAATCTGTTTTAGGATCTTTACACACGCCGCACACCGATTGATTGTGATACCTGTACATCTACTCCTGTAATCAACATTGAAGGCAGATTTTCCTACATGCTTGGATATAACAATATTTAACTGCTTATAGCTATTGTGTGCCATTGGTGCAGTAATCTGGGGGAAGTTTGAGGTTCAAATCTTTGGTTAAAGACTACCAAACATCTTGGGAGACTTTGCATCAGAGTCTCCTTGTGTGACCATCCTGTGTATTATGATTGAGTATAGTCAACTCCCTCTTAACCCATGACCTATTAGCCCAGTTCACATTTCACACTTTCCACTGCTAACTTGTAGTAAACTTTCTGCTTGCTGATTTCGAAACTCCGTCCAAACTTGCACTGGCAGCAGGCTAATTTTAATCATGAGATCTCAATTCCCTCTGCTAACTTCAAATAAAAACTTTGCTAAAAAATTTGAAATGTGAACTGTCCTATTAACCCATAAGGCCCTAATTATAGAACATGTGAGCTCACACTATTTCAGACACAGTTATCCATGTCCAATTTTTTTTTCTTTCTGCTCAAACATTATGCTCCTTGAACCAGAACAGTCACTGATACCCTAGTCAGATATAATCTTGCAGCTTTTATGTACTTCCTGTTTTTTTTTTTGTTCTATGTTTGGTTTCATTAGCCCTAACCCTCATCTGATCAGCTGTGTCTGATTTTGACAGATATACAAATCTGAAGAGAACTCGCTTCAATGGCAAGCTTTTTCAATTGCATGAATTTCCAAATTGTAAACTGCCAAGATGAAAAAAAAACACTTCCTTCCACTTTGGGGGGGTGGGGGGCAGATCTTCTTAAGAGGTTTGTGACACAAAAATGTAAAAGAAGTCTTGAAGTGATATTTATCAGAAATCACTAACTGTTGGAGCTGGTCCCCAGGTGGGTATTATGTTGACCACACACATGAATCACCACAAGGCCAAGCCATTCTTGGTTAAGACTATATAATTCTTGAGTCACTCTGGTTGGCCTGCTCACCTGGCAGGCTTCAATACACGCTTTATAACTTATAAGATCAAGGTTGATCTTCAAGGAGGCCGGAAAGATAAACGGAGTTGTAGTGTTTGATAGCATTGCCGCTGGGCTTAGTGATACATACGTATGGCGGAGTTGGATAGTTTTTTGACGGGTCGGTTAAAATATGATGTAGAACCTTGCGTTTATGCTGCAGTTTGACGGAAGGGAGCGATACTGATGAGAATGGTTTCAGGAGAGAAGCATGCATTCTGCCCACCGGTCCTTCCGTATGAATATGGTTGAAGCCCTGGGCGCAAGCTGTCGGCGTGTTCGAGTGTAGCCGATCACATCCACACGCCTTCAGCTTCTTCCTTCAACGCTTGACTTTGAAAGCACTTCATCTCTGTCAACTCTTCGGTGACCTGGTTGTGTCTGCGATTCACGCCCATATACATACTTAGTCGTCAAGCAGCTTCGATAAACAAACATCCGACATCTCTTCCGTTGACGTTCGGCTTCATACTTACATACATACCTCGACGGGTCGCGTCACTGGATATAAGTCACCGATTCTCCTCGCCGGTCAGATTTCTAGAAGTTGTCTGTCAAACAATTTCCGATCATTTTAACAATCAAAGTGGTTGATTCCCAGCCAAGGACGCGCTAGCTGGACAGTTTTTACCTAGGACGCGTCGTTGAAGTTTTCTTCGAGTTTGTAGATTTTCTTTTCTTTTCCTTTTTTTTTTTCAAAGTCCACTCGGTTGATATGGGCAAAATAGGGAACCGAGAGTAGTCTCGATCGCAAATGTTCTGGCTTGTCTTAAGCTAACTGTGAGAACTGCCTCTACTCAGCCTAGGGTTCCGACCCGGTGCCTCGGATCCGGGTTTCACCCCTCCCGCAGCCGAACCCGGCGGGTATCCGGCCCCGCGCCGGGTTCTTCCGGATCTTTGACATTTTTTTTTCTGCATATTCTGCTGTATTACACCAAAAGAAGGGGGTCAGACAAGCAAAGACAGAGTGCACAGCGGCCCCCGTCCGGGGTATATACGGGGATTCCCCGTCAAAACCCCCGAGGTCTGGGGGTTTTCAGCATCCGACCGGATGCCGGATCTCCCGAAGCCGATCCCGAACCCTGAACCCGTCCGCGGGTTGACCGGATTCTTCCGGATTTGCGGGGTCCGGGTCGGAACCCTAACTCAGCCTGATTCTCTCAGAACTACTTCCAACTCCGCCCTCGATTTCCCCTGGCGCTTGCAGTGAAGCTGCAACAATACACAACAACTCAGCAACCTTTCACCCTACTACATACAACAACAACACGCGAATATATATTCAGCGATCAATCAACTGCTTCCAAAGCCCCTCTCAACCCTGCCTCCGATTAACTCGCTTGCCCAGTCTCCATCAGCACCTGCTCTCAGATGGCCAATCCTCTTGGGGGAGCCAATCGTCGACGATTTTCTTCCATACTCTCCTCCGCCTTCTTACTTCTCGCCTCACCTACACTTTCGGCTGACCCCGCTCCGCATCCAGATAGCTCGCAACCCCGGTAAGCATACCTAACCTTTCCCCAAAGTGCTAGCGAGAAACCAACTCATACAATTTTTTTATCTCTCTAGATGGGGTCAAGCTTCCCTTCTCTTATCCGATAACTCACTGTTGGTCTACGGTGGAAAGTCGCCCGCAGGTGGAGGATACACGTTTAGCAGCTCCCCCAGTGAGTCATTTGGCTGCCTGTTTTCTTCAGAGTCGCGTGGATAGCTCGCGTTTTCTAACTGACAACACACTTCCCCTTCTCAATCCTAGATACGGACGACCTGATTTCACTTTCTCTCAACAGCTCATTCTCCACAACATCTCCACCATGGCAATACTTATCCGGCTCTAGAATCGCCCAAGGATCCTCACAGTTGATCTCGTACGCGACACTCGGTTTGCTGGTTGAACCCACGGCCACCGATCCAGGAATTGTCTTGTCGTTCGGGGGCGATGTCAGCTCTTCGCCCAATCTGACGGGCACCGACAGCTCATGGATCATCAACTTTACCCCCGACCGGCCCAAGCACCACTTCGTTTGTTCTTTTCAAGGTCACCCAACAGGATGCTACTTGGGCTCAGCAACCTATGCGCCGGGTACGACACACTTTGATCTCGGCCTCTAGTCCAACTTCACTTCGACTTTGGGCTCTTGGTGGTCAGAAGGGCGATGGGAGCCAGACTGTGCTTAATGAGTTATGGCAATATGCCGCCCCGAAATCGACTCCACTTCAAGGCTCATGGTCTCAGTGTTCCGGTGCACCAACACCAACTTTTGATCATGCGTCCGTCGCGATGCTCGACTCGTCAAATCAACTCAGGATCTACGCCATGGGCGGGGTGGGCCCCAACCAACAAGCCTTGGAGATGTCAAACCTTTATCGATTCACCCCCGACCTTTCCTCAGATACATGTACCGGTCGTTGGGAGACACTTCAACTGCACACGTCTTCAGTGCCGACGGCTCGAAGGGGGCATTCAATTGTCAGTCTATCACCCACCCAAATATTGCTCTATGGAGGCGCCTCAGCCGACGGCGAACGCGTCTACAGTGACCTCTGGCTCTTGGACCTCTCTGCGATGAGCTGGAGTAACATGAACCCAGGGGATAGTAACAGCCCGGGAGCTCGCTGGGGACATACGATGGTCCGAGTCGGCAGCAATGTCGTCGTGGCATTTGGCTTCGGCAGCCTAGATGCGAGTCAGGCCGCACCATCCAACGTTGGGGTCTACGACCTAGAACACCTCAAGTGGACCAACAGTTACTCACTCTCCTCGAAGGCTGACGGTCAATCCAGCGCGGTCCTGCAAGTACCTGGTCCGGCCGACTCCGCGGCCCAGAACCCTTACAGCTGGCAAGTTCCCGGGCCCAAAGACACTGTCAAACCGCTCCCGATTCCGTCTACCGGTGGCCCTGCAGTCTCCTCATCCACCACCAAGGTCTTGGGCATCACCCTCGGCATTTTTGGCGCACTGATCATTGGCGTGGGCTCAGTGTTGGCGTACCGGTACCAGAAGAAAATTAAGGGAGAACGCGCGGTGGCAGCCAATGCGTACAAACAAAAGGCATACGGCCCAGACTTTGGAGACGGTGACATGGGCCATGACGATGATAAGGTCCGTCTGGTCAACCAGGAAGAAAGTCTACATGCGCCCCACAGTATTCCTCGAGCCTGGGCAGGCATGAGTCATCGATTAGAAAGTAACGTCCCAGGTCCGTTGAAAACCTTGGCCGGAGTTGGCGTCGGCGTTCGTGCACTTTGGCCCCACAAGCGTCACGATAAGCATAAGGAACGCTTCGATATCCTGGCCGATGAGGAAAGCGAGGTCTGGGTTTGTACCGACTCTGCCAGCCTGTCCGGATATGACGCCAGTAGTCCGTCATCAAGTTATAACCGTGACAGGCCATTGAAAAAGTACGATGAATGTTGCCACGAGCGTGTTCGACTGCCACCCCCTCCACCGGTTCCGATGTCTGAAGTCAAGCAGCATCTTCCCTCACTAGTCACTGTAAGTTAACTTCCTATTTATGTAGTCAGCTTTGATAAAATAAATAAATAAAATCTCACTGTGAATTTCTCTGATGTATAGACTCGTGGCGGGCTGAGAATTTGGGATGGGATCGATGATCCTCCAGAGTCGCAATATGGATTTGGGACCTCGACCAGTTTTCTTGGTGCTTCTCTGGCCCCATGGAGTGATGACGGACGAGGGCCTTCGTCGATTTCTGAGTACGGACAGTACGAGTATATGAGGGCCCCCTCTCCAAACACGCACTCCATTGGTGGTCGAGGATCGAGCTGCTCCCACGTCCAAGAAGCCTCTGGCGAGAGCTCCTCGCGTTATGACCCCTTTGCGGATCCTTACCATCGTGAGGAGGAAGGCGGCCATCACACGCGGGAAGGCACAGGATATTCGACAGTCGATCTGGTTGATTCCCCGCAAGCCAGGAATGCTACAGCTGACCCGTTCAACAACGAGGCCGAGACTGCCGATCACTGGGGTCACTCTGGCGCAGGTTTATCGAAACTGAGTCTGGTCAGCCCCCCTGGTAATCCGTTACTATCACCGAAGCACCTCGAACGAGGCGGGAGCTGGTGGGACCGGCTTCGATATGGCTCGGACAAGCATGGCGTAGTCGACCACTCACCTGGGGCCATCCACCCCATCCGAGATCCGACTCCGGCCCCTCCGATCCCCCCGATCAATCGATCCGAGGACGCCCATCCAGCCCACACTCCGGAGTCAGTTGACCAACCTATAGACGAGCATGGGAGATGTCGGAATCGGTCGAGCTCCAAGGAGAATGATGAAGGCCAGAATAACCAGACCCAGACGTCCCAGACCTCGAATAAGACGGCCTCGACGGCGACCTCGTCGATGATCGAAGCGGCGACGGCACACATGACGGTGGTCCAACGACTACGGACGATCGACAGCAGTCGGATGTCGGACTCATCGTCGGTGCCCACCAGCTTCCAGAGCCAGCCCAGTCTTTCTTCCCCCACCATCCCCGAGTCTCAGCTCGCCACACCCACCTTCCTCCCGTCGCCCGACTCCCTCACTGAGCGTCCCCTGTCGCCCCGCCCCAAAGGCCCCCGTCCTAACTCGCCCATCCTGCTCTGCACCACCCCGCATTCCAGCTCGATCCTCACTTTGGTCGACCCTCTCTCACCGGTCGAACCACTGCAAAACTGCGCCGTCAAACGACCACCCGCTAAGCGCACACAAACCGCTGGATCCACCGGCGTCCGCGCAATGGTCAAACAGTTCGAAAATCCTCCCGTCCTCCAACCTCCCTCCTCCGATCTCCATCATCCTAAACTGGCTAAGCCTCCTAGACCCGCTGAGCGCGTTAAGGTCGAACGTAGCCTCGTCAAAAAACCTTTGCTCTTCGTCGCTAATCCCGACAAATAAAAATAAAAAAAAAATCTTTTTCTTCCAACCCTTCTTCCTTCATTTACTTTGTCTTTGTCGATCTGAGCTTTCACTTCTTCTTGTCTTTAAACATACTAAAAGAAAAACTTTTTTCTGTCGGGTTTTTCTTATCGGCTTGCAAGTTGAATGCTTGGTTTGCACCTGTCTTTGGATACCCAAGATCCGCAAACATCGCTTGCCCTTCTTTTTTTTCGTGTTTGTGTGGGGTCGATTTGATTCTTGATTCTCATCACCATCCCCTCTTCTTTTTCCTTTTTTCTTCCTCAAGACTTCGATCCCCTCCCCCCCCCCCCCCAAAAAAAAAGACGCGTTTTTTTTGAATTTTTTCTTGATCAAGATTAAATGTATTCCTTTTATAATATATCAGTCAATTTATGTCCCGTATACTAATCTCGCTTAATCTGGTCCTATAATCTTCGCCTTCTCTCTGACTTTGGTCTCATCTTTCTCATCATCATCATCCTTGGCATCATCATCGGAAGATTTCAGTTCTGGGATCCATCACTACATACTCGACTTTATTCTTCTTGATCAATGACCCCCCTCCCATTTTTTTTCCTTTCTAGAATTCTTTTTTTTTTCCCTTTCTTTTGGTTATTATCTGTGGGCATTGACGGACAGGTAAAGTTGATACTCCCCCATCCCCATCAAAAAAAAAAACATCATTCTTTTTATTTAAGTTTTGGTGTATCTCTCCATTTTCAGTCTTACATACGTACCAATATAGTATAGTATAGTAGTGGTTGTAGTCCTCTCTATTTTGTTTATTTTCGAAATTGATGTATTATTATATTTTTATAAGCTTGTTAGCAAAAGCATGAAGAGTGTTGGTGAGTTGGATGGGTTCATGGAACAGCAGACTATGAGTGATGGCCGGGTGAAGTTGGACACGTGAAAGTTGAGATGGAATGTTTTGGCTGTTGAGTAGCAAACCTTAAAAAGAAAACCCAACAACCAACCACTTGGGCTGTACCAGAGATGGCCCAACCACCAACTGCATCCCAACCACCAACCACGAAGAACAACAACAACTCATCCGAACTACTCCGTCGGATCCGCACCACCACTCAAAAACTATTCCCGCCGGAGCGTCGATCGTTTATCACTGACACCACCAGTGCAAGCAAGAAGAGGGCCATCATCTCAATCGCACTCCGGAAAGGCTTGTGTCAGTGGACTATCCCTATCTTCTATCAAAAATTGCCACAAAAAATTAACTTGCACAACTCCCGCATGTAGTCGTCTTCTTCTCCGTACATGGCGTCCTTAGTACTGCCTTGTTGGCCTTGGCTTTGGTGCGCACCGGAAGGGCCAAACATCCTCACTCTCACTCGGTCCATCGGCCCGGCCCGTAAGCAAGTAGATCCTTATATGGATCGATGAATCCCAGGGTCTTGACAAGTGCAATATTCTTTTGATGTCGACACAGACAACGAGCAGCATGGAGCAGAGTGATCCAGGTGTTCTTACAGACCTTCCGGTCGGCCTCGACGGCGAGATTGGCCAGTTGGCTCGGATTGTACTCCGCCCTCTGGACACTCACCTACTCCTTCCTCCGCAAATCCCACCATCAATATGCCCAGTGGAACCCGTTCATCGCCGGCTCGCTCTGCGGGGTCTCCTTCTTTGCTCAGCCTAAAGCCGATCGCAAGGAGATCGCGCCTAATGTCCTGTGTAGGTCAGTAATCTTTCATCCCTCTCGATTTCAGCCGTGTGTTTTTGGCGGAAGACGCTCAGCTGATCTATCCCGTATTTCTTTGGGTTTATTCAGAGGGATTTATTCGATGCTTATGTGCTACCCATTGTGTGATTTCAAACATGCAGACATGTTACTGTTTGCGCTGTCGAATGCGCAGATAGCGATAGGCTATCTACTGTACCCCAGCAGTCTGCCGTCCTGGTATGTGCATTGGGTGTCTCGAGTGGGGGAGTTGAATGGACGATATGTGGACCTGAATCGACGGCTGGACCGATCGATGATGATCGGCTCGACGAGCAATCTTGCCCAAGAGTACCATCGGCTGATCAACAGAGACTCGCAGCCTCGCACCTGGCTCAACGAGACTCGGATCCAGACCTGGCTCAATCAGCCCCTTCCTGCCCATCGCCCAGGCGCCCCCTGCGCCTTGAATCACTTCCGTCATGATAGTTGTCTCGCCTTCAACCTCCACCAACTCTTCCGAACTATCCTCAAAATGGCCCCCACTTATGCCATCCTTCATCTCGTACCCGCCCTCATCTTCCGCTCCAAAGTGTTGCTCAAATCGTCAGTGATTCCTTGCTCTTCATTCATTCATTCCCTCTTGATTGATTGGTTGATTTCCTTATTTATTTATTGATATCTGCTTCTGGAATCTACTTCTAGACCTGTTGTCTTTATGAGTTCGATCGCCAAGAAAACGGTCTCCAGTGCGCTCTTCATCGGCACCTTCGTCTCCGTCGTCCAGAACTGCTTTTGTCTTCCTAGTCAACTCTACGAACGCTTTGGGATCGTCGTCCGAGGCGCCCCGTTCTACGGATTGATGGGCTTCTGTACGGGGGTCTCGTTGTTATGGGAGGAACCTAAACGAAGGGGCGAGTTAGGTGAGGATTGAGATCCGGTTTGAGTGACAGAAAAAGGTTAATAACTGAATGAAAATTTTTTTAATTTGAAAAAAGCGTTATACTGTGCGCCGAAAGCATTATACTCCTTATGGACGGTGCTGAAAGCCAAGCGATGGGTGCCGGGCGAGGTGCCGATGGGCGACATCCTAGTCAGCTCGATCGGATGCGGGATGTTGATGCACTGTTTTGTGAACCGCAAGGAACGGATGCCCGGCCTGGCCCGCGGGATCATCAGCCAGATCGTCGACCCCCATTGGCCCGACCGGACTCGAAAACAATCCCCGCTCGTCGGCAAGCAGACTCATGTCGATCCGAAGCAGCCTCACCTTCTTTCCGAGCCTTAGCCTTTCGTCCGCTCTGATCCTTCCTCTCCATCGCTTCTCATTCTCTGGCTTCTTCGTTCCATCACCCCCCCCCCCCCACATCCATTACGTCGCGTCGCTGTTTTTTTTGTCTCTTGAAATACTCGCCTAGTTCAATCCCCCCCCCCAAAAAAAATCGTTTTTTTCAATTGTTTCATGCCTACATATTATCATATATAGTCGAGTACCTGTTCAATAGATCTGCATTGTTTTTGGTTGTTTGTTTATACTAGAATCGTACGTTTTTTTCTTTTCTTTTCTTTCATCTTCATTTTCATTTTTTTTTGTCTCTCTTACTTTTACTTTCTTTTGTTGACCAAAAAAAAAGAAACACAAAGAAAGAAAAAAAGAAAGAGAAAACTTGATTAGATGGTTGGCTATATAAATATGTTTGCACCTTCACAGATAAGAAGTAGTACTAGTCATTAATTTTTTTTCTTTTTTTTTGGGGGTTACGACCGAGGGGGGTCCAAAATAAAAAAAACCAGGAAGGAGAGAGGAATGAGGTGGAGTTGAGGTCATCGGGAAGGGTACAATTCGGGCATATACAAATGTGTTGAAAGAAAAAAGGGAAAACTTGTCGATAGTGGCTGGTCATGTGGTGTCAGGTGACTTCAAGTTAGAGTGGACCAATTTAAGAGACTGGCCCAATACAAGTGTAGCCCAAACCTTGTCTACCTGCACACACACTTGTATAAGGGTGTAAGGCCCCATACCAACACATCTGGGTCCACCAAATATCCATTTGTATGTACCTGCCCTTGCAACCACAGGACCTGTCAAATCACATCATCATGCATAGCACATTATGTCCACCCAGGGGTGTACTGCGGTTAGAGAAATGTGTGCGTGTATATTGGATCATTTTCTTAGTGAAACTTAGGGTTTGTTTACTATCATAGAAAATTAGAAGCAGCCTGCCAGAAAAACCCTTATATAGAACACAGGTAACCTCCCCCCCCCCCCCCCCCAAAAAAAAAAGGAAAAAAAACAGAGATTTTTTTTTTTGAAAATTGGTACATTATGGAGCCCATTCATAGGTGTTGTGTGCCCAGGTTCAGCACTATCCAGGAACATTCACTCTTTTTTGGCAGGTACCTTCAGCGCAGGTGATGAGCAGTAAAAGAGGCAATTACAAGAACGGGACACCCGTCCTCACTTCTCAAGCTGGGGTCTAGTTTTCTGGACTGCACACAAGCCCTTGAAAGTATTAGACTTTCAAGTCATAGGGGGGGGGGGGGGGCTTGAGGAGCATTATGGCCAATATTTCATGACTCTCAATGCATACACACCTTTGGTTACTATGTACAACCCCTTCTTCTTCAGGGAAAAATCCATCCATTTGAGCTGAGTACCTCTCTGAGCAAAAACAGTAATTCATACATTTTTTTTTGGGGGGGGGGGATAATATCTTTTTTGGTTTTTGACCACAAATTCATTACTGTGTTCTACAGGCGCTTTCCTGGGTCATGAATTAGAGCTTTGAGTTATTGAAGAGCGTGGATAAATCTATGCCAGGGAGATATATGCTCTCCAGGTGCAGACCACTCGCGAGGATCAGGAAGCTGCTCAAGTTGATCTTGCTCCAATGATCAACTCAACACACATCACTGCGGTCAACTAAGCAGTCACGGTACAGAATGTGATTTTCCAGCAGCCCAACAGACCAAGCTGAATTCCACTAGAATTCCAATCTCTTTGCACCATTCATAATTTCAAGGTGAGCGCTCGACTCGGTCTAACAGCCGGTGTCACCGCAACAACAAGCGAGCTGAGACTGCAACAACCCATGTAGTCCCCGCGTTCCTGAACATGGTTGGGCCCCTCTGTCTGACGGCCAGCCAGCAGTCCTTCACCGCTAAGTGGCCAGCCCAACGCCCGGAGACCAACTAACAGCTCGGCAATCCGTGCAAAATGATGCAATATAGTGTTTTTTGTTGTAGTTGTAGGAGGTTTTGTTGTAACCCAGCTACTGGGTTACCTTCTGACTCACTAGACCCTAGAGTACATAGCTTGAGTGAGCGTGTTAGTGACAATTCTATTCATCATTATCACAAACCACATCAGGTCATGAGCCCTCGTCTCAAAAATTCGACACACCTTTATCTTTACCCAGCGTAGGGCGGATCGATTCATTACATTTACCCAGCGTAGGGAGGATCAAATCAGTTTTTTCTTCAAACAAACGCTCTCAAGTAACGACTCATCGAACATCGGCCGTCACACCCAGCGTAGGGCGGAGTTTTAGATTTGGCCGGATCGCCTAGTTTGAAAGTAGCGAGTACGTTCGGAAGCCAGAGACTAGCTACCTCGTCCCAATACCTTGGTACCTAGGGGGCCAACGTTTGTACAAGCAAGGATATAACGAAAGCGCTAAGGTTTTCTCTTCTTCTCTGCTTGAAAACTACGACGATCGTTGATTTTTTTTCCCTTCTTCCCTCGAACTCCTCCTTTCAATCGATTTTTTTTCTTTTCCCTTTTTCTCATCTTCTCCGATATCATTAATCATCCCCTAAAAATTTTTCTTTCCTCTCGACCTTCCTTCCATTTTTTTTCTTTTCCCCACCAGATCCTATGGCTTCTGACATCCGCAATACGCACTCCCCCCCCCAAACCAACAATACATGGCACAATGAAGTCAATCGCCATTGCCCAGTGTCCAGAAACTCGCCGGCCGCCTTCGTCATCAATGCCGGAAACGGAGCCGATCCACAACGCCATCCCTCTAGGAGCAGAAGCCGCAATGCTCCTCACGATCGGACAGATGATCGCCGGCGAGAGGAGGACAAAGACGGTGATGTCCCGATTTACACTGCGAACGAAGTGAATCGGTTTCTGGCAGAAGCATCGGTGCAATCCCTCTATCAAGGCAAGACACCGGGTCAAATTGTGTCGAACGTTGTTTCAAGGATGTCGAGTGCCGACAAACTTCAACCAAACGGGTCCAATTTCGCCGTCTGGGAGCTAATGATGAGGGAACGAGCCCTAGAAATCTTTAGCGTCCCGACGTGGTACACGAAACGATGTGTGGATCCGGTCCAGGAACAAATCGGCCGCTCACTGCTTCTCGCAACGGTTGATAGCAGCATGCATCAGAGCATATTACGCCATCCAAACTGCTATGAGATGTTCACCTATCTCAACTCACGATTCTTCACCGTAACTCGAGCGGAGCAAATGGTGTGTTGGGACAAGTTGATTAACTTCAAACTGTCCGATTTCTCGAGCAGCGCCGAGGGAGTCACGAAGCTGTACGAAACCCTGGACGACTTTGTCAGCTTCGGACTGGATCTTAACCGGGAAACAATCGGCGGACTGGCGCTACAGAGCTTGATTGAGGCTGGTTCTGAGCTACGTCGTGAGGTGGATCGCCATGTCAAGCAAGACTTGGGAGGCACCAGCAAGACGCTTTCCAAGAAAGCCGTTACGCCAGACCAAATTCTGAAGCACATCGATATCGTGAAGCGACAACAAGATTTAGGTTCATCGCGATCAAGTACGTTCTCGGCGTCGACACCTCAAGCACACCAATCAACGGCCGACGTCCATTCTGACCAAGCTAAGGAATTCTACGATCCTCGAACCTGGCCCAACACACACGAGCAAGTAGAGGGACTGGCGATTTCGGGACCCCAATGCTGGAACTGCCGATCACCGGATCATCTCCTAAGCAAATGTCGTCTGCCCAGAAGGATCGACTTTGATCGCCCACCGTCGTCATCCAACTTGTGGCGGAAACAGCCTCAACATCATGTTGGCAACAGATCGGGCCACACCCCGGTGATGGCACCAGGAAACTTCCAAGCCTGGTATCCAATCGTTACCCCGCCTGGGTATCAACATCGTGGCTTTCAACCGGCACAATCACCATACGCCCCACCTCCAACAAGCCTGCAAGGACAACAACCTGCCAAGCGAGCTGACTTGTATCGCCCCGACTACCGTCAGAGGACCCCACAACACCCGCTGAAGTCGCAAAGCCAGGCTTCTGCCAACACAGTCGATGCTGGCAATCCATCTGAGGAACCCGATCACCACCAATCCCAACCAAGTCAAGACTACTATCATCCACCCTGTCCGATCCAGGAATCAACATCGAGGATGATCGAAATTGGCGTGTTTGACGAAGGACTACACAATGGAGTAGTACCGGGGTTCCGTCAACTCACGCTGGGCGACGGTGATGACCCAGTGTTAGAAACGGGTGCCACTCATCACTTGACAAGCAATAGGTACGCCCTCAGTAGCTTTCGTCTCCTTGAACACCCTATTCCCCTCCGAGTAGCCACTAAAGGTGGCGGTTCCTTTATAACAGGAGCTGGGGACCTCTCTTTTCCGACCCTGAATGGGCAAATCGCAATTCTTAGAGGAGTGCTATACTGTGAGCAAGCCTCCTCAACTCTCATCTCATTGGCAGCTCTGAGGAAGGCTAACTCCAGATTTTTATACAATCATGTTGAAGATGCCTTTCATATCTTCTCACCAGATTGGAATCTGCTCTTCTCTTGTCGTCTCCAACACGCGTCCAACAAATGGTGTCTACCTTGACCACTCCCTCCATATCCTTCTGGAAAGCCTCCTAGCACAACCTTCCTTTCTTCCATCACCTGCCATCTTGTTCCCTCACCTGTCTCTCCTGTTTCTTCTGTTTCACCAACTTTATCTCCTCTTTCCTCCTCTCAAGACTCTTTTCTTCAAAATTGTGTTGATGCAACCTCATGCAATGATAAAACTAACTATGTTGACCCAAAGATGACATCCAGACCCAGCGGTTTAGCTGTGAAAACAGCGGAGAGGGAGTTGTTTGAATCACCCCTGGAGGTCTCACCTAGTTTCACGTGGAGGCCAGAGGACCTCACAAAGGACGAGGCTACGCTGCTGCTTTGGCACAGAATCTTTGGACACGCCAGCCTGAGAGTCATTTGGAAATTGGTGAAACAGCAGGCCGCTTTTGGATTACCGGAGAAGATGCCAGCAGGCCAACTACGTTGTCCGGTATGTGCTATACACAAGAGCAACAGAACAGGCATACTTAAAAAGTCCAATCGGTCGGTAAAACCCCTAGAGATTCTAAATGTTGATCTGATGGGACCCTTCCCCATTGAGACCTATCACAAGGGCCGCTATGTGCTAACCATCAAAGATTTAGGTTCTGGTTATAATGAAATAAAAATTATGACAAATAAGTCAGACGCTAACAAACACATTGTAGATACAATCAACAGGCTTGAACAACAAACAGAACAGAAGGTCAAGGTTTTAAGAAGCGACAATGGAGGGGAGTTTGCAAATAAGGTGCTGGCTACGTTCCTGACATCGAAGGGCATCCGAGCGGAGAGGAGCTTACCCTATCATCATTATCAGAATGGAGTAGTGGAACGCTTCAACCAAACAGTTTCTGACATGGGGAGAACGGTACTAGGAGATAGTAAGTTGCCCCAAAGGTTCTGGGGATTTGCTTTTGAATGGGCTTCCTGGACTCTCAATCGACTACCTAACAAGACCAGTGGAGAGAAGACACCATACGAGGCCCTGTTCAAGTTGAAACCGCAGCTAGACAAAGCAAGGATTTTTGGAAGCGTGGCATATGTGTTGCATCCCCCAGAGAAACGAAACAAGCTGGCTGATCACGCTGTTAAAGCTCATGTTATTTCGCATTTAGACGAGAGCAAAGGCTGGATGTTCTGGGTGCCGGAAACGGATCAACTGGTGACATCCGCCTGGGCTATCTTTGAAGATATACCAGGAGCGCCAATGCTTACGACAGAACAAGTGAATAAACAGCTTAAGACTTCACTGACAATTGATTTAAAGAGCAATCTTATTTCCCTAGGTGACTTCTCACATGAGTTGGCATATGAACAAGAGGAGCGACTAGTGGACGATGTTATCATCAACTGCGGGTTCTATTCTGCCGGAGTTCCGAAGACATACAAGCAAGCTAAGAAATCCTCTGATTGGGAACGGTGGAAAGCAGCGGTTGAAGAAGAACTCAGTAACCTGGACAGGAAGCAAGTTTGGGAAGTGAAACTCATGGACTCACCAAAACAGGAACTTGATGGGAGGTGGGTTTTCGCGATAAAAACGGCTCCAGATGGAACGGTGACCAGATACAAGGCGCGATATGTGGCGAAAGGGTTTACGCAGGTCAAAGATGTAGACTTCAAGAAGACATTTGCGCCAACTGCAACCTTTATGTCTATGAGATTGGTACTAACACTCGCAGCAGCGTATAACTGGCCTGTTCACTCCTTTGATTTTGTAGCGGCATATCTGAACTCGGAAATTGATGAAGAAATCTGGATTAGACCACCAGAAGGTATGGCGTTAGGACCTGGCAAAGGACTACGACTGAAGAAAGCTCTTTATGGAACGAAGCAAGCCACAAGATGCTGGTGGCTTCACCTGAAGAACATTCTGTTGGAATTAGGGTACTCGGCAAGCCACTACGATACCTATGGAGGTACTGAACCGCCACTTTGGCCAAAAAAAAAAAATAAAAAAAATAAAAATGAATCCATCAGCCAATTTGGCCATACAGTCCCATACAGAGGACACACTCCCATCAAGGACTGGTTTTGACCGGTCCTTGATGGGAGTCAACCCCCCCAAACACCCCCTTGGATGACCGGTTATGACCGGTCATCGATGGGTTTAAACACCCCCAGCGATGACCGGTCAAAACCGGTCATTGATGGGAGTAACCCCCCCCCCAAACACCCCCATCGATGACCTTTGACCGGTCATCAATGGGAGAAACACCCCCATCAAGGACCGGTTTTACCCCCTTCTCGTATGGAGGCAAACACCCCCTTGGATGATACCGTTTTTCCCCGCAAAGTGCGGGTCAGTACCCCGAAAGAGAACAGAGTCTCTCTGCGAGTTTCTCTCGTCAAAGAAATAGTTATTCAGGTCAAGCACCGGCGTGATTTTGCCCTGCCTACAACCCAGTATAGCCTATCTTCGCCCTAAAACTTTGCCAATATCTAGATGACTAATCAGACGACTCGAGACTTTAATAGACAATTAT